GAGGAAAGAGCATTGTAGCCGTTCTTATCTTTCATGTGCCACAGTTCATGGGCAGTCGAGTCACAGCGTATACGCGTACATTGGTATGCTGTGCTTGGTGAAATCATAGCCTGTTTGTTCTTCGACACCTGACAGAACTGTAATACAGCCCAATATATCAATAATACTGCAGAGTGAATGCAGACACATGGATCTTATGTAGCACTAAGGCCCCGGTCACACTATGGCAAGTTTGAAGCTGGACGTAGCGTCAAACCCCAGCACTTGATGCTGACGTGGAGTCACACTGCATTTTTGCTTTTGCCGTCGCGGCCTGACGCACTTCACAAAACCACTGTGTGGCTAACCAAATCCCTGTGATAGAGTACGGTACGCTATTTTTCAAAAGACACTGTTTTCATGCAAGTGCATGCAGCCACGGGTGTTTGCAGTGCATGAACTCTGGCCAGTCGTCCCCGTACGCAAAAATGCGTACGCATTTGGATCTACCGTACATTTCCTCGTGTTTTGGGCGAATCTGAGCGGTACGACGCTGTCGAATTGGGCCTGAATTTGCCCTGAACCAGCCGCTATCGAAGTAAAATTAGGTGTTTTGAAGACGACACGGGAACACTGCGGCCATGTCTTCTTTCCTGCGTCGTTTGTTTGAAAATCGGAGTGTTTTTGAGCTCGTAGTATCGTCTTTGTTGTGGAATGGCCGTGCGTACATTCTCCTTGGAATTACCAAAGTCACACCCCCGTTTCTTACATTACTAGGAGTTTTGCCGGCAGCCACGATAGTTTTTATCCCTGCTTCCATACATCCTTTCATTGAACAGAAACTTTGTGGCGCGCCTTAGTTTTTTGTGGCGCGGGGGTCTCAAGTTTGTCACTTCGAGTTGTACACAACAACCACATCATCTCAAAAGACCAAAAAAACCAAGTGAGCAAAGTATTTCAATGTTCCGATTTTGCCTGGCCTACTGTGAAGATGGAGACTTCTACTCGGTAGCAGATACTCATATCAATAAGCTGGGAGGGAGAGCGTGGCGAGTAAAATGTCGGGATGAAAAGAGCCACATTCTCTCTCGGAAAAGGTCGTCATTCCCACACACGTACACTTGCTCTACCCAGATCTGCAGAAGGCTAGATTTTGCATGCACGTGCGAGATTCGCATCTGCCGCGCACATAGGCAGAGTCGAAATTTTTGTACTCTCGGATTTGCCGCCATCTTGACGAGTGGCCGCTGCGAAACACCCGTGGCAGTGTCAACGCAGCAGATTTGCTCGCGTCAGACGCTACTGCGTCTGACGCTCAAATTTCCCGCGTTTTCGTCAATTGCCATGGAAAACTCATGCAGTTTTGCCGTAGTGTGACCGAGGCCTTAGAGGCACTCTGCCAATGTGGATCAGGAGAACAAGCAAATCTGTCCACAGTGTCCATAACGTGGACTACAGGGGAGAACTACTCTCTGCACACTCTCAACACACATTCTTGTCAAACCAAAAAAATTCAGTTCAATTCGAAACTGTAGGTGGAAGTGGTATGTTGTATTCCCGTACCTTGACTTGATCACGGATCTCCTCTGAAACCTGCGGCATGTACGGCTGCAGCAAGACAGCCAGTTGGCACACTAGCTGTGCACTGAGATTGATCACACTGCCAGCTCTGGCCCTACAATAGTCAATCACGCAAACACAGCATGTATAACAGAATCTGATAAGCAAGCGAGAAGTGTACATGTGTAAACATATATATGTACACACAGACACACACACAGACAGACAGACAGACACAGACAGACACACACACACACACACACACACACACACAGACACACACACACAGACACACACACACCATTGGACCATTGGACGCCCATCGCCGGAGGCGATGATAGCGATGCTACAGCAGAAGCCATAGCAGCTTGTGCTGGGATTGCACCATTCAACAGCTTGCAAGGCTGAAGAATTGACCGCCACTATTCAGCCACACATACACACACATACACACACACACACACACACACACACACACACACACACACACACACACACACACACACACACATACATACACACACACACACACACACACACACACAAGCAACATAATTGCATTGGGGACCATTACAGCAAAACTACGGACATTTGCGTGTTTTTAGGCTGGTGTAATATGCAAGTATCACTGAACTGGTATTTGAATAGGGTAATTTAATTAAGGGCTGCACGGACAGCATAGAGATTGGCGTGCGCTAATCACTTACTTATCTTCGGGTGTGCCCTTGAGGAGAGCCCATGGCTTGTTTGCTTGCATGTAACCATTGCCAAGTTGAGAGATAGCCAAAACACTACGAAGACCTTGACGCAGTCTGAAGGACACAATGACGACAGACGTATGCAGCAAAACACACAGTAGTTAGGGTCACGGAGATATCGAGTCATGCTCGTACAAACCATTCAAGAATAGTTAGAATACCCTCAGCAAGCTATTTATAACTTCACTGGGGTCACCTCACAGTACAACAGTGCATATCCAGATATTCATCACCACATACCGGAATCAGGCGTACATGTCCAGACCAACACTATTCGGACTTAAGCTGCATTCGTAGATGCAGCGCTGCACTGCTGCCTGCAGAGTCTGCAGTTGGACACACAGGCAAAGCAGGGGACTTACTTGATTCCCTCGAGCAGCTTGACATACTCGGCCACCTCTCGGTTGACAGCTGCAATGAACTTCTTGTCATCAGCATTCAACTGCAGCTCAGACAATGTGCCTCCAAAGAACTTGGCGCAGAAAGACAATGCCCTGCAAACAAAGAACATAGGGTCAATATAGAGTAGATAGGGTCAAATAGAATAGATGGAATAGTTGATACAAGGGAACTACCAAGTGACAATGGTGTTATCACAATGCTTAATGGTATATTCAGATCTTACCAACTGCAGCTTTCATATACTGTCCAGTGTATCATTAAAATTAATGTGAAAGCACCAACAGGCTATCCTCTAGAGTCTCTTCCTTATTAACTGGTTGTCTTGTCCAGAAAGGACTACTGCGCTAGCTGAATAGTTCTTGCTAGCGGAATGAATAATTGAAACAACCAGATATGATGCAGCATGCATCCTCCCATGACCCTGAAATTAGGTATGGGGAAATGACCGGGCCTGTAGCCTGGAGAAGGGCCGGACCACCCCTCATGAGCTGGCTCCGGGCCTGCAGTATGTGAACGCCCCGTCCTTGTGTGTTAGGACTTTGACATCCGTCCGCTACCACACCGTCGATCTCTGCTACTGCTTCAGCAGAACACCGCAGAGAAGAAGATGATTCTTCACAACTCACTACCCTACACAGGCAATCTGCTAGCTGCCTACAGAATATCTTGAGAGCGCATGGTATTGAGCAGACAAGTCCGGTGCTTACCTGTTGATAAAGTTACCAAGGTTGTTGAGCAGCTCTCCATTGACCTTGCTGACCATGTCATCCCAGTTGAATGCACTGTCCTGCAGCCACATAGCACGCGCACACACAGTGTTTTCAAATTTCTAAAGGCCGGGAGCTGACAGGCAACGGTGCTGCACTGCTGACAGGAGCCGACCAGGGCAACATGGCCATTGTGCTCAGTGACAAACTGATGTTGTAGGGAGAGAGAGAGAGAGAGAGGGGGGGGGGGGGGGCCCAATGTCAGAGTAAGGTATATCTAATAATATGACCTGTCTGACAGCTATAGATCTAGTCAACAGAATGCTGTAGCTATACCAGTGCTCACCTGTCCTTCTGGACGCAGATAGAGCAAGTAGAATCTCCATACATCAGCAGGAATGGAGGTCTCCTTTGCTTGGTCGCCAAAGACACCAACACCACGACTCTTGGAGAACTTTCCATCCTCATAGTTGAGATACTCTGCAGCAAGTCACCAAACCACCACCACCACCACCACAGCACCACCACCACCACAGCACCACCACCACCACAGCACCACCACCACCACCACAGCACCACCACCACCACAGTACCACCACCACCACAGTGCCACCACCACCACCACCACCACCACAGCACCACCACTACCACAGCACCACCACCACCACCACCACCACCACAGCACCACCACCACCACCACAGGACCACCGTACCACCACCAGCAACACAGCACAAGCACCACCACACCACCAGCACCAGCACCAGCACCACAGCATATGGAACAGTGAAGCTAAAATGCCATGTCAGTAGGTACTAGTAATCCTAACAGTACAGTCATGTACCACCAGAATGTGTACGGCCTTAACACTAAAACCAGAGAAGCGCCCTGAGCATTTCCACCCGTATACGCAGGCACAAATACACATCAACGAGCACATGCACACAGACACACAGACACACAAAGGCAAACGGGCAAATGTACACAGGGAGACATGCACACGGAGATATACATATACGCACGCACACGTACACACACACACGGCCAAGTTACACGTGACATACCAGTAGCACTGAGATGATTGACTAATGTATAGTTGTCCTTTGCACCGATCAGACATGATGGGAAGATAACGCTATGGAAGGGAACGTTGTCCTTAGCCATGAAGTTATACAGTTGAACCTACAGGACAGAAAAGAGGAACCAAGGTCACATCAATAGGGTGTGTGCTCGTCTTCAAGTGCAAGACAACACCAATGGATTCAAGTCACATACGAGACTAATGTATATACAGCGAGTCCTCATTAATTCAAGTACTATGAAAATGGAGCAGTCCACTATTCTGATCCTGTTGCTTCTCCTGGATTCCTTTCAAGTCCTTGCTGGCAGATTCAAAAATATCCAATCAAATGTAACGCTATGTGTACCTGATCAGGGTTCTTCCACCACTTCTCCCACTCAGTGGTGTAATTGGCTGTGATTGATAAATACCTATGCCACATGACAACAGAGCATCAGAAACAACCGTGAACCATTAGAACTACAGTCAAATCTGTCGTAAGCGACCGCCCCTTGGTGCAAGAAAAAGCGGTCGCTTACGGCAGATGGTCTCTTACGGCAGATGTATGGTAAATCCGGCATACCAGGTATTATGCTTCCATGTACTCAAATCGACGAGAATTATGTGATTTTTAATATCATTTTTATATTGGATATTCAACGACGACCATACTCATAGTACGCGTATGCGACACGGCAGTAGATCGACGCTGCTTGGACTTGAGAGCTACAGCACAGCCTCAGTACACATGGTACAGGCCAGCCGCCAGTCGATCGCACTTGCAAGACAGCGCATTTTCACACTTTGCAGTTGACAGCGCACTGGCAAGTACAGTTTCGCACCTGACTGAACCTGGGTCGCGGTCGCTTACAGCAGATTTGAATGCAGCCACCGTGCATGAAATCGCGGTCGCTGGTCGCGCACAGCAGATGGTCGCTCTGGACAGATCAGTTTGTATATGAAACCGTCGGTGCACGGAAAATCGGTCGCTAACGGTAGATGGTCGCCTACAGCAGAGGTCGCTAACGGCAGATTTGACTGTACTATTATTAAGCACACACAAGGACATATTATACAGACACACACATAGAGGCACAAGGGAGCCTGTAATTGACAGAAGATGCACGAGAAAAACAGCAGCCAGTAAGTAGTACACGTAGCTACAGTTTGGGTAAGAGTAGCTCCAAAGGACAGTAGCACCTTACCCGATGGGAGCATCGAACCAGACGTAAAACACCTTGTCGGTGAATCCTTCCTGAGGCACGGGTGTGCCCCACTTCAGGTCACGCGTGATCCCTCGGGCTTTTAGGCCATCGCGAAGCCAGGAACTGGTAATCACCTTGGCATTGGATGACCAACAGCCTGTAGAACGCATCAGTTGCAAGACAATAACACAAAATGCAGACCCAGTGAACTAATAAGTAATTAATGACCTCTCTTCATGCACTTGATACTCAAAAGAAGATGATTTCTCACTGTAACTGTAGCAGGGAACCCAGCGTCTAACAAATGCACGTGTCTTGAGCACTATGCATATATCATTCATCGGGCCACCCAGAATTAATTCGTTGTTTCGGGTCACCCGACCGACCGTCTTTTTTTCGCCCAACCGCAACATGTTTTTATTATTGTTGTGTATGCCAATGTACATGACTGTACATGACTGACTAGACTATGTACACACGCGACCCTGATGATGTTACTTCAGAAGTAGTAATGATCTTAACCCTGCGCACGAAAAAAAAAAAAAAAAAAAAAAAAAAGCAAGCAGCAAGGAGTGCTTCCGTAAGGATCTCAGGCATAGGCTTCAAACATTCTCACATCTCAATTTCGCTTCCGCAGAGCATTGTTCAGAGCAACCGTGGACGAAATAGAACATGCTCTAACAATGCCAGCGGTGGGTGCGTTAGTGTTGGACGGAACACGACGGAAGGGCCTTTTGCGTGCGTCGAAAACTTTAAGACCGTAACTGAATTGATTTTAGAGCAGATCATTCCTGATGCGCAGATCGGGATCGATTTTCAAGGCGAATATCTGGTCCTGGAGGGACCCGGACCTGATGAGACAATGACTGCGCTGGATCGTCTACAGTCAGATTTGATCGACTGGCTTGATGGACAAAAGCTTGGATATTCGATATGCACATGGCAGTAACCAAAATAAGAAGTAAGATAAATGATAAATAAACCCGACCGACCGACCCCGGTACGGATGAGTGGAGTGACCCGAAACAACGAATTAATTCTAGGTGGCCTCATCTCATTTCCTGTTGTGTTTGTATGTCTCACTCCACAGACTGATAAGGCATGGTTCAGCTAGATCTTCTGTTGCTTGCATTGACACTGCAGGCCGACTGCTGGACCAGGTACTGGAACACCATCATGTGCAGCACACCAAGGCCCCATCAATTAGCTTGTGCTGACGGTGATGCATATGTGACTGCCCGTGTGTGATCATCCAATGTATTCAAGGTGTGTTGTTCATGCATTTGCCAACAATTACCATGATACTGGCATAGAGGAGGGTGATCAGTCACAATACGCTTCATAGTGAAGTACACAAGCACTTTCAAGTAACAAGAATGGATCAACATCAATTAAGGATTTCAAGCTTCAAACGCTGTAGCATTACCGGCTCCAGATGACTTCTCATACCACTGAGTGAGATCACCTTCAAGCTGCAATGTAAAGGAACAAGTAACCATGAGAGAGAGAGAGAGAGAGAGAGAGAGAGAGAGAGAGAGAGAGAGAGAGAGAGAGAGAGAGAGAGAGAGAGAGAGAGAGAGAGAGAGAGAGAGAGAGAGAGAGACAGAGAGAGAGACAGACAGGCAGACAGAGACAGACAGAGACAGACAGACAGACAGAGAGAGAAAGACACAGAGAGAGAGAGAGAGAGAGAGAGAGAGAGAGAGAGAGACACACACACACACACACACACACACACAGACAGAGAGAGACGGAGAGAGACAGAGAGAGACGGAGAGAGACAGAAAGAGAGCACTTTAATTAAGGCCGATTCATACTTCATTTGTTGCGACGCGAAAGCGCGATGCGATGCGTTGAGTTTGCGACGTCGCACTTGCTTCGCAAACCAACGCAAACACCAAAACGCCAAAGTTGGCCAAGTTCAACTTTTCGCGACAGCGATGCGAGACGACAGCGCTTCACCATGGTAAAAACAATGGCGGCACGGGCGCGTAGGAGTTCAAGGGATGAAATATTTATTTTGTGTGTATTTTGTCTGGAAATGTTTTCCAGGAGTACTAGTTGCTTTTCGAATTATTTTCCGGAGCTCGAGAACATGTTGTTGACAAGGAAGACTTTTTGTATTTGGCTTTTATTTCCTTGCTGTCTACTCTTCCTGTACGGTGTTACCAAGAGTACATAAACAGTTTATGTACTCTTGGTATTACTGATTTTCATTTCCACACCTTGTATTTGACAATGGCTACGTTCGATGATTCACAGTCGTTTGCTGAGATACTCCAAGACTCCAGCTTTCACTCTCAGCCCGAGTCACCTGAAGTGAGTGTAGTGGAAGGGAAGCCGAGCCACGAGGAGTGTTTTGTTGAAGAGGTGCGACGGTACGGATGTCTGTGGGATAAAACCTCAACGCATAACAAGGACAAGTGAGTTACTTGCCTTGCTTGCATACAGGTAGATTTGTTCTTTCAGATTTCTTGTCCATTTTACATGTACTTGTACAGAAATTTATTCCAGGCTACAATGTAGTTGTCCAGTGTGGAATGTGCTGGAATTTGCACACTACACCGCAGTCATTAGATCGATCTGCCTTATATAATAGCATGCAGAATTGGGTGGAACTTGGATGGCTTGATTGGGGTTTCGACACTTTTGTTCGGAATATGAAATGCCGCTAGTGACTGGGACAGGCTTGATCATAACATGGTCGCACCCACTGTACTCAGGGATACATAACATCGAGTATCAGCCTCGTTCATGGCATGCCGGCATGGCATGGCAGGAAAATGTGCCCTATTTATAAAGTTCAATTGCAATTGTTCATTAAATTGTTGTCTCCGCACCGACCACTTCATCTACTTCATACCTGTAATCCTCTTTGTTTCATGTGCATGCTATTTCCAGATTCATGAAGGAGCGTGCATGGTTGAAGGTGGTAGAGTCGCAACCTGCCAAGGATCTCCAGCTGAGATCACCCGTCGAGTGTCAATTTTTTTTAAGTATCTACAGGATACTTATGTGCGCCTGAAGAGGGAGCACATCTCTAAGCTATCCCGGAGTGGTTCCGGAGCCGTCTGTGTTCCTGCGCCTGCATGGCACTCCACAAGTGCCATGCAGTTTGTAGACTCAGCGATAAGGAAGAGGGCAACTACATCCAACACTAGTGAAGCAATATGTGTCCCCCCTGCCTCTCCAGCTGTGCCTCATTCCCCCTCAACCTCTTCTCTCTCCCTCTCTCGGCTTCCTCTCTTCTTGGTGAGGATTGCTCAGAGGAGGAAGCACTGGACAGCCCAGCAGCCGCCATTCTATCAGCATCACCTGTGCCATCACCAGCTGCTGAGAAAATTGCAACAGCACCAAAGGCCAAGTGTTTCATGTGCATGCTATTTCCAGATTCATGAAGAAGCGTGCATGGTTGAAGGTGGTAGAGTCGCAACCTGCCAAGGATCTCCAGCTGAGATCACCCGTCGAGTGTCAATTTTTTTTTAAGTATCTACAGGATACTTACGTGCGCCTGAAGAGGGAGCACATCTCTAAGCTATCCCGGAGTGGTTCCGGAGCCGTCTGTGTTCCTGCTCCTGCATGGCACTCCACAAGTGCCATGCAGTTTGTAGACTCAGCAATAAGGAAGAGGGCAACTACATCCAACACTAGTGAAGCAATATGTGTCCCCCCTGCCTCTCCAGCTGTGCCTCATTCCCCCTCAACCTCTTCTCTCTCTTCCTCTCTCCCTCTCTCGGCTTCCTCTCTTCCTCTGGCCCTGTCTCCTCTTGGTGAGGATTGCTCAGAGGAGGAAGCACTGGACAGCCCGGCACCCGCCATTCTATCAGCATCACCTGTGCCATCACCAGCTGCTGAGAAAATTGCAACAGCACCAAAGGCCAAGAGACGGCGTGCTGACGACGTGGACCTTACTAGTAGTTTTGATTAATGTTTGGACACAACATGACGTGTGCATGTCTGTTTCATTCTCCAGACCAAAGGAACACGACTGTTCGACCTCCGCAAAGCCAGATCTTTTGGCAAAGTAGTGTCTTCAATTTTCAAATCCTATGTAATAGGATTCGGACTCCTCAAGTATTTGTGGGCCACCTCCCCAGTGGTTTATCCTTGAAGAGCATATTTGCAGGTTTGTTCTGGTCTAGAGTGGGACCCAAGGTTCTACCCCCCAAGGACTGTTTTTTTCTTTCTCAGATTGTTTGGCGGAAGACTACCGGCACTGCTCCTAGATCCTCGAGCAGCAGTCTTGGCCCAGGCCTGGGCTTGAGGTGGCCATATTCAAGGCCCAACCAATCACAAGATAATCTCCATAGTAGCCCATGGCCCATGCAACACTATGGTTGACATGATGTAGTCATGTGCTAGGCTCAACCAATCACAAGACAGTCTCTATAGCAGCCCAAAGAGTGCGGGGGGGGGGGGAATGAACTGCATCCATCAACAAAATCCTAGAATGGCTAGAGCAGGGGCACTTCCAGTCAGTGCACAAGTGTGACATGTGTCCTCTCCCAACATGGCTTCCTCTCACTCAGTCACTGTATCAACTGACACCCTTGTGTCAGGACAGACTGAGAGGACCCAGACCCAGACAAGACAAGGAGGTATTGTTGTGGAGATTCCACTTAGTGTTCTGTGCTCAAAGTACAGGGACTGGAATGATTTCTTCAGCAAAACCAAGGGAAGCAAGATCACCATCAAGGATGGAAAGCAAGGAGAGTTGTATGAACGAGTACAGAAGGCACGATACTCCTTCGAGCAGCAAAGGAAAAAGAAGAAGACACCCTTGTGTCAGGACAGACTGAGAGGACCCAGACCCAGACAAGACAAGGAGGTATTGTTGTGGAGATTCCACTTAGTGTTCTGTGCTCAAAGTACAGGGACTGGAATGATTTCTTCAGCAAAACCAAGGGAAGCAAGATCACCATCAAGGATGGAAAGCAAAGAGAGTTCTATGAACGAGTACAGAAGGCACGCTACTCCTTCGAGCAGCAAAGGAAAAAGAAGAAGACACCCTTGTGTCAGGACAGACTGAGAGGACCCAGACCCAGACAAGACAAGGATGTATTGTTGTGGAGATTCCACTTAGTGTTCTGTGCTCAAAGCACAGGGACTGCAATGATTTCTTCAGCAAAACCAAGGGAAGCAAGATCACCATCAAGGATGGAAAGCAAAGAGAGTTCTATGAACGAGTACAGAAGGCACGCTACTCCTTCGAGCAGCAAAGGAAAAAGAAGAAGAAAAGTGCTGAAACATGTTACAAAGGTAAGCACTGATAATATTGTACCATAGTGAGAACAGTGATGAAATATAGAGAATGGTGTCAAAAGAATACTTGTGTTATGAATCTCCTTCTTTCCAGGGCGAACCTATGAACTGCGGATCGACGAAGCGGACATCGTCAGCAATGCTAGCCAGACAGACTTGGCTGCCATGCAGTTGCGTAAAGAAATGATCACATATCCAATGCCAGGGTGCTTCAAATACTCCCAATCGCTGGATATCCGAGAAAATTCTCCCCTCGCCAGCCATTTCTCGCTCCTTCATCGTAAACATTTCAAAAAAACTCCTTGAGTTTCTTTTCATGCTGCCCACGCGCTCAAAGCGTGTCAGGAGAGGTAAAATCCCGCGCTCAAGGTCAGTCACTCAGAAAATGCTCTTCACCGATTGTTGCAATGGAAAGCTGAGCTCTTCGGCTTCTTCCTAGATACATAATTTTCAAAATTCCGCCAAGAATTAATAGAGTTCCTAATGTTTTAGTGAATGCATGTGCATCGACCAAATTCAGTCAATTCATGTACCGTATTTCCCCCGAGTCGCACTTCCGTTTTCAGGTTTGAGCCATAATTCAGTATATCCACATTATGTAGGATGTCACGCTCGATTGTAAGTCGCACCCCCTTCTTTGCCCTTGAAGCTAACTGTAAAAAGGTGTGACTTATATTTTGAGGAAATACGGTACATACTGACAGTGCTGCCAAATAATTTTCGCCCAAAATCGGACACCCTTCACCGCCATGGCTGGCCACATGGTGTGAATTTTTCTTCTCAGCATTTTTTTTCAGAAAAATACCATGGAAATACCATGGAAATTCGCTTCGTTGCCATGGTAACCGATATGGCACCCCGAAGTTGTCATGAATTTTGTAATGCATGAGTGTGGTCACACACTGTACACTACATGCCATCTAATCCAGGCATGTTACTTTGCACATCCACAGCCAAGCGCTAGCCTTTTTAGAATCATATGTACAGTGATTTGTGCTGTCAGTTGCGTTGAAAAGTGAAAATACAGGACTTCTGCATAAGAAAGTACTGATCGCTGACATTTTTTGCTGCTTTTTGGACGTTTCCTTTTTCGGACCGGTTTTCGGAAGAGCCTTCAAAAATCAGACTCTGTCCGAAAAATCGGACGGTTTGGCAGCACTGCATACAGATGTTGAAGGGACAGAGATCTGTGATAATGTCCAATCACTTGTGATCATTTAGAGTACATATACAAAACTTTAACGAAAGAGCATTGAAGGAAAATCCTACATGCAGGATTTACTGGCGACAGTCAAAGTGCTAGTGAGTACTCACATCTTGCAGGTTGACAAAGATATGGCGAGAGGACTTGGCTACTGGCGTAGCGCCACACACCTTGCAGCGAGGACTCTGTGCAGAATAGTAACACAAGACGACGGTATCTGCATCAGAACTACTGTATAGGCACAGAAAACACCATTGCTAGCAATGCAGGACAGCAAGAGATAGAAGAATGAAAGCGGGAAAGACAACTTTAGATAAGTGACCAACTTACAACAAGTTCTACAGCGTTGATAAGACGTTGGCACTTGTCACATTGGTCACCGCGGGCATCCTGTGAAAAACACACACACATTGCAGCAACATACTGGTAAGCCAATTTTTAGGACAAGCACGCTTTTAAAGCTACAATTGTATACACAGCCAATGCAGAATGGCATGCTCTGATCTCAAAAATTGTCGGTGTATTGAAAATAATTTGTTTTGGTGTTTTCAGTGCATCTCTTTCACAGCTTCAACTGTCAGCATCCACACAAACATTGGTACACATCATCCAATGATGCCATCTCTTCACTGCAATTTTCGGTTCACATCATCTGGCCCTTTGCCCCCCCCCCCCCCCCACACACACTCTCCCTACCCTACCTTGTGAACACCTTTTCAAATTAACATAATATCTGAAATTTTAGTACTAATACCTATGTGTCAACACATTAATCAAATTGTCTTGTTTCTACTGTGCTCACATGCACTGAATGGCCGTTAGGCACGCACACAGAACACAAAAGCTCAATATCCTCTGCACTGCACTGGTATACAAGCAACACAACATCCGGCATGCTGAGTACTGACATGGGAGATCTTCTATAAAAGCCATTTACCACATATTGACACTCAGGGTATGGGCAGGTGCCCTCCACAAAGCGGTCAGCCAAAAATCTAACACATAAACAACAAGCACAAACACAGAAAACACGGCATGCTGGTTACCTCGGCACTCGACTTTGGCTAAGCAGCAGCCCACGATGCTGAGGTCTCTTTTTACCTGCCAATGTGTTACAGAAAGTGATGGATCAAAACTATGACACAGTCACTTCACCTGTCAAGGGCTTGGGGGAAGAGTAAGAACTCACCGATCACACTTCAAGCAGCAAAGTTGCTCAACGCTGTCTTCGGACAAGAAGTTATTCTCCTTCAGACGCCAGAAGATATCCTGAGCAATGCTGTATTGCACACACACACGCACACACACATACACACACACACACACACACACACACACACACACACACACACACACACACCAAGGCATTCCTCCAATGAAGCTTCAAGCAAATGTTCCGTCCGTATTCCCTAATGTAGAGTTCTGAGACCTGTTTGGGTAACTCTTGAGAACCCTTTTATTCTTCTTCTTCTTTTGCCGTCGTAATCGTAGATTGTGGGTTATAGTCCCAATCTGGGTAAAAAAATTCTTTCAATTACCAGTACAATGATTCTTAAATAAAAGGGGGTTTGTCAACTGACAACCGCTCTATTTAGTTGCTAACTTGCTATTCACCCTTGGCGTATGCACTGGATGAAAATTCTTTTATTAGTGATGTCGAAAAAATTATTGACGTTTCGGGACAGTCACCCATCGTCGGAACTTTTTTTTCTGACGATGGGTGACTGTCCCGAAACGTCAATAATTTTTTCGACATCACTACGACTCGTAATAAAAGAATTTTCATCCAGCGCATACGCCAAGAGTGAATAGCAACTAAATAGAGCGGCTGACAGTTGACAAACCACCTTTTATTTACATTGCAGTTGCGTGATGTCCACCACTTTCTGAATAACGATTCTTGCTTTCAGATTGCTCAGGAGGCATTATAGGCCTTTCACACGACGGTACGTGCTCACGTTAGCACGCTCCTACAGTTCTACGATGCGCGGCATGACACTTCACACCATGACTGCCGACACGGCGCACATGAGCCGGCCACGTTTTGACCGTTGTCTAGGTAATCGTAATGGAGGCGCGTTTTTTGATGGAAATAATCTTTATTTCAGTGCCTCCCAGGAAAATTCAAACTCGTGTTGTCTAATTTTGGAGTAGAACAAAACTGAAAAGACTACGACATTGCTTTGGCGTTCTTGATTGGATTTTCTGGGACCATGGATTTGACAAATCCACGTAGCTTTGCTCCGTTTGGGTTGGTTGTTTGCCGTGGTCTTCGGCACCCGAGCCCGAACAGGGCAATCGGCTCACAACCTATAGGGTTTGGACTGCACCGTCTGATTTCCCAAGTACCTACTGTCCGTTTCATCTTGAGAGAAAGGTGTCAATATTTCTATTTCAGCCCAGGTCTTCCGTCGACAAGTGCCCTTTCACGTGGCGCGTGGAGAGATCGAACCTATTTAGCACAGTTTTCTTGGATAGCCACCTGCTGTTTGTTGCTCGATAAGAATTTCTGAGGAAGAGCAGGTTTTGGTCTGTTCCTTGCCAGCAACTTGGCAAGTGAGAAGCAGAAGTTCTGGGAACGTGGACGTAATTTGGATCTCGTTTTCCTGACTACGAAAACATGAAGCACATGGAGTCTTTTCATGTTGATTAAGTAATATTTACTCAATTGTACCGTATCGTCGGTGTTCATCTTGTCAGACAAGACACTGAGATGAGACGAGTATCCCAGGAAGGAAGAGAATGGCTCTGTTCTTGGAGTGGACGGCACATTCAACAGCTATGGAGCAGATTGCGACGCCATACAGCATAGGTACATCCACAGTATATGGCATCGTTCAAGATGTTCTCGCCATTTTCCAGGCCCTACTGCCCGTACTACTGTAGTTTGCAGATTCCGTACAGAAGGAGAACTTCAAACCATGGCAGATTTCCAGCACTTGTCATCTGCCAGGCTGTGGAGGTGCAATGGATGGAACTTTCATGAAGATCATGAAGCCAGTGCAGTATGGCGATTCGTACTATTGCTACAAGCAATACCCAGCCATTGTTGTTCGGCTTTGCGTGGATGCCAGCAGCAATTCGTAAAATACACCAATGCTGGGCGGCCGGGGTCAATGGGTGATGCCTACACTTGGAACACTTCATCCCTGCTCCAGGAGATATCGTATGGAACTCTATTGCCCAAAGCTGCTGCAGTGAGTGTCGAAACCATCAGGTCCGTCCCTGTATTGTAGCTGATTCAGAACTTGCCTTGTCAGAGACCCTATTGAAATGCTACAGCATAAATCGAGGTGGACCTCGGCAGCGAAGCTTTAATTATGCCGTAATCAGAACACGACGGGCCGTGAAGAATGCGACAGGTCGCCTCAAGGGTAGGTGGAGTATTCTGACTCACAATTTCATCCACAATCCTCCCCTAGCAACTCAGTTTGCCCTTGTTCTGCAGCTCTACACTATGTGTATGAACAATGCAGTTACCCGGTTGAGGACAGTTGGATTCCCATGCCGGTACTTCATGACCGTGTAATGCCTCCAGTACCTAAAAACCAAGATAGATTTATTCAGCCTGCGGAGGACGTTTGTCGTATACTTTCTGAGTACAAGCACCAATTTGTACAAGTAGAGTGAATGTTGTTTTGCTGGCAGACACAGACACATGCAGTTGTTGAGTGCTAGTGAAGATACTGCTCGTTTTCTTCTGATGTCCGTACTGAAGGTCTGCCATTGTTTCTTCATAATCAACGAATTAGCAAGCGTATTCTGCTCATCACATGTGCATGCCTCATTAATAATCAGTATCGCTCTTCCCTGTTTGTTCAATATTCTTCTGTTACTTCTTCATTGCCCATTCTTTCCAAACTTGAATGACGGCAAGTGTGGCAATGTACATGAACATAGATTATACACTCAAACATCTTTTATCTGGACGCCTCAGATACGGGCACGTCTCTTTACCGGGCACCTTCAGCTCGACGTCCTATGACAAACATGCTTTGATTTAGGCGTTTTTTTTTATTCGCGTGCACACATGTGCTTATTCCGAAAATTCAAATGAAACCTTGGGCAAACTCTCCATCTTTGTGCCAAAAACATTTGAAGTTTCCAAAATGCCAGGAAGTACTGGATCACTCGAGTACTTGCTCGGTTTCGTCTCGAGTACTGGAACAAGAAATATCAGCACTGGTTCCACCTTTACTCAAAACTCATACTGTAAGATGCCGTGCATACCGTATTTCCTCGATTAATAGACCCGGTCTTTTGTTTTTTGAAGAGGGTTGGACCCCCGGTCTCTTATTCGGGCATGGTCCATTATTTGAGCACGGTCCACTATATTTTCATCGGCACATCACTGGAAATGGTGGGTTTTTAACACGTCATAATATAGAATTTCTATATTATGACGTGTTAAAAATCCACCATTTCCAGCGATGTGCCGATGAAAATATAGTGGACCGTGCTCAAATAATGAAAGAAAGCACTAGCCACTACAAAAATTGTAGTTGCGCAACCTAAAATCGCGTCCGTTTTTGATCCACCACGTGCTTTCTTAGTGCGCAAGCGCAAAGCGATGAACTCAAATAAGAGACCGCGCCGGGTCTCTTATTCGGGCATGGTCTACTATTTTTCCGTGAGGCCTCTAGGAGGGTCTACGATTTAAGCATGGTCTATTATTCGAGCATGGTCCATTAATCGAGGAAATACGGTAATTATCGATTTTTTACACAAAGAGAAAAAGTTTCGTGTTGGTCAAGGGGAGTTTCGTTTCGAAAATTTTGATATGTGAGACATGAAGGCATTCTTGCTGTCAAGTCAATTTATTTTTCGTTCAGTGGGTGGGGGAGGGTCCTAAGTAAACTTTTTCGTTTCGTGAAAATTATCGATAATGCCGGACAGCCACTAGGTCAACAAATAATCGGCGCATACTTATTTTCGGCCGGGGGATTTTCGGCCGAAATTTGTTTGCGGCCGAAATGTCGTTTTGCAAGATTCAGTGTGACAGTGTATACAGGCAGCGGCAATACAAGCCGAAGTTTGAATGGGGCCAAAATGTAATGTTTCAGCCCTGGGAGGCCGAAATTTGAATGGGGCGAAAATTTGTAGACTTACAGTACACTAGACTGGAGATTGAAACAAGACACAGATTAGTAGTACTGGTAACTGCACCACAGAACTAAGCATAGCAGGGTTTTTTTATCACAAGAGACGCTCACGTTGTCTGTTCCGGTGTGGTGGTACGGCCAAAGAAGTCAAAGTCAATGTTGAACCACTCATAGACGGACTTGTGAATAGCATGATACTTGTCACAGATCTGTTGTGGGGTCATACCTTCTGCCAGGGCCTACACAAACACACAAATGAACACACATGAACACACATGAACACACATGAACACACGCACACACACACACACACACACACACACACACACACACACACACACACACACACACACACACACACACATGTACTCATTCACGCCCACAGACATACACACACAGTAAAAATCAAATTTAACACAGAGTCCGAACAAAACACAGCCCAACCTGCGTCCCAAAACAACAACACATGTAGTGGGGAAGCAAGCACGTGTGTATTCCCCCTGCACTGCACAGCACAAAGATCATGCAATGCGAGCATGTTTATACATGACATGCCCAAGCACAGTTGCAACACAGAAGAGAAAGCACAGGGACACAATGCAACGGCAGACAATACCTTTGTCTCGGTAGCAGTACCGTACTCATCAGTGCCACAGATATATAGGCAGTTGTAGTTGCGAATACGACAAAATCTGAGAGGCAACAAACCCACATAAATACACAGACATGGTTCCTGTATACACAAACTTGGAAACGAAACACACCTTTTTACAGGCTGGACATTTCGTGCTGAGATGAGTGTGTATAAGTGAAATCAAAACTCAGCATTAATACTGTAGAAAGTGTCATGCAGTTCTACAGAATTTGACTATTAGAGGGTACTAGCAGTAGAATGTAGGGTCATAGCATGCTACCAGTACATGTTATCTAATGCTGCAAACATCTTACCTTGAATAGCAGTCAGCACTCAACACACAGCCAATGATGTTGCCAAGATGTGGTACATTGTTCACATACGGCAAAGCTGATGTGATCAAGATGTTGCGCTTTCCTTCCTTTGGCAAACTAACGAATACAAGAAGCAAACCAACAGAAATGGAAAATACTCTCTCTTTTGCTATTCTCTGACAAGGAAGTGCTAATATTGCTCAACAGCAGGGAGTCGTCATAATTACATTTAGGGAGCCGACAAAGGCTAGATTGCTAAAATTGATAATGTGGGTTTTGCTCCCGAACTGCTGGTTCCGTTCGTTCTTGGGGCAGCGCCAATGAATACACGCTTACATATGCTGGTCTGGGTCGTGTCTGGGGTCAGCAAGTGAGCTATGCAAAGGACAATGAGCTCACAACCCAGCAGCCACTCTGCTTGATGCAGGGCGTCACAACCAGGTGGAATAGTATGTGTTACATGTTGTAACGTCTGCTCGAGCTAACACCTCACGTGACATCTGTTATGGTGGACAGTGTTTAATGTTAAGACGCCCAAGGCTCACTGCAGGGCATTGCTGTTGAAGGAGAAACGTTGGGCGACTGCTGAACAGCTTATAGAGACCCTGACTCCTTCAGAGAATGTGACACGTCTTACTGTGTGGTCAGAAGTATCTGAACATATCGTGTGTGATGCAAGTCGTCATGCCTCTGCATACCATCACACTAGTGGGTGCAGGCAAGGTGGCAGGTAATGACGAAGCTGCTATTGCTCATCTGTGTCGCAAGGTGGCTTCTGAACTTGCAAACAGGTTATATATATAGTATCTAGACCAAGTAGACTTGTCCAGGATTCACGTGTCAGGAGCTGCACTGGACCTGCGCTCATGCTCCCTTCCATTCCTCGATGCTGAGGGTCGTTCCAGCCGTACCGAACACCCCCCCCCCCCCCACACACACACACATTAACCCTTTGGAGTCCATAATTTGTTTGCTTCCTCAGAATTTGTGGCAGTCACGAAAATGCGCACCCAATTTCCACCATAACTTAGGTTTTACTTTACCGATTTTGAAGATCTTGGGCTCGTCGGAAAGCTCTTGGTGAGAGGATTACAATGAGCCCAAACTCGTCAAGAGCACTATTCATTGTCTGCCACAACGCGCTCCAAACATGAGTCCAGTTCCAGATCTGAGACGAAATTGGTATCCTTCAGCCATTTCACTGTGCCTAGCTCGGAACTGTTGAAATGTTTTTGAGTGGAAGCTTTCCTTGTCGTGACTTCGCGTCGCGCCAGTCCTGGCACGTGCTGCCTGTCCTGAAGCTGGGAAAATCCCTTTTTCATGCACTGTTGACTCGCAGCACGCAATGCAGAAAATACAAAATGTTCGATCTATCACCGCTCACTCCAAATTCATCGGAGTGACTTCGGACCTGTTCGAGGCGATAGCTGAGAGTTTTCCCTACCCCCTAGGCCCTTCGATTGTTGAATTTGGTCAAGATCCGGCCGTGTTACGAAGAGTTTGACTGCACCCACATGCGGCATTCAAATGCCCATGGTTTGATTTTGACATGGACGCCACAAGGTTAAAGCATGGAGGACCCTGGCTAGTGCCGGACGCTACTACAGTTGTGGCAAGTGAAATCCGACACTTGCCATAGGGGACAGCGCCACAAATGGATATCAATGATGTAATGCACTGCACCAAATTTGTACTATAGAGCCGTATGCATCCCAAACAGATCGAAAGGTCACAGCGTACTAGCGTAGATACACACAGTTCACAAACAAAGTACACATAAGGAGTATTGGTATCCAATCCCCATTCATTTTTGCCAGCACCTTTTGAACTTTGACTGTGTGATGAGTACGAGTTTTGTCATGAGACAGATAAAGTTGTATGTAACACATGTACTGTATGTACGCAGGGCTGCAAGGGCTGCAGACTGCGTGGTGCAGTCCCTTATGCCAAGTGTTGGATTTCACTTGCCACAACTGTACATAATATGTTTTGCATAGCTTCGGGAACTACCCATAGAAGATCAAAACTTGCGCATAGTGCTGACAAGGCTCAAGTACTTACACCGGGTGTTGGCGGGGCTCGAGTACGCACACCTTGGCTTCCTTAGCAGCCCACGTTGCATCAACCAACGCCAGCTCTTCAGCAGTAGCATCCTAGGTCACACAGTACAGCAGAGTCACGCTCACTTACTATTACATGTATGAGTAGTTGAAGTAATAGTACAGTAGTAGGGTCCATGCCCTGGGTGGTTAATTAGTGGGGCTATGACAGTCAAGTAATAGTTTACAGTGTCCCATGCAGCAGTTGGCTTCCAATACCCAATGGTAGTTGAAATACAAAACACTTGACACAACCCGTGCCTAGCGCCCCAGTAAGTACACAGCAAGCAATCACGTACTTCAGTACTTCTATACCAGATGATATGACTATAGACTTACCAAAGCGGGGGATGCTGGTTGAGCAGGCGCATCAGCTACAGCAGTGGACAAATAACGAAAAGAGTAACCAGGTCAGCAGTGAGAGATGAAGAAAATACACACTAAAAGTGCATACTGAGTATGCAAAAAGCATGACAACACCAAAAATCATCCCGGCAACACAAAGCTAAACTCAGGAACAGACCAACCTTGTTTTGCTGCCTGACCCTTCTGCTGTGAGGGCTTCTGGGACTTTTGACTCTTCGCTTTTCCTCCTTTCTTGCCATCACCAGCTTCAGCTTGTGACTGCTCATGTTGAGCTGCAGCCGCAGAGGTGAAGAACTTCTGTATCAGAAAACCATGAAACAACAGCAAGAACGGCAAGGTGAGAGCAGGCAACGCTGACACATCACAGCTAAGCAGGGCAGAAACAAGTGAAGGCTACATTCACAAGCCTGAGTACTTAAAGGGGACGTATGGCCTAACATCATAATGCCACTACTTGTAGTCTTTGAGATACTGAGTCGATTGGTCTTGGTCCTCGGAAGCTGAGACGCCCCCTTCGTTGTATCACTCAGGGGCCATGTTTGATCGGCAATAATGGCCGAACACAGTCGCAGCCTCCTCGGACCAAGGCCATTCGATTCAGCACCCAGAAGACTACAGGTTCTGAGGGCTTCATCTCCGTCCATGCTTCTATACGTATAAGAATAAAGTGAAATTGTCCACACAACCCGCTATCTAGTACGGCACACTCGCCCAGTTTCAGGGGAGGTGTGCGACTTTGATTGGAAATTATAGGACGAAGGAAACGTCTCAGCTTCCTCAGACCAAGACTATACGACTCAGCACCTCGAAGACTACAAGCAGCGACATTTCTTAGGGCATACTTCCCCAATAATCCTGAGTGTCCAAATCCCACCCTTACATGTAAACATGCAGCCTCGATGCACATATGACTCCAAGCGAGCCCTTCAGACCTCTCAGCAGTCAAATGCATGACAAGAGGCAATGTGTGCGACTTGCTGTAGTGTATCCCAATGCCTGCATGTTGCTGCAATACTCTGGGAGCAGGTTGCAGACTCTTTAAAATCCTGCTTCAAGCATTTGCAGACACACTGTAATCTTGTCACATAAATCTCACTGTATAATCGTGTGGCAATATACTCATTCGATTCGAAGTCAGGGGCTTTCATTTTTCCAAACGTCCACCACATTGAGAGGGTTAGACTCGGCTGGAGAGCCAAGGATAAATGTATAAGAAAAAAAAGAGGGCCAAAGAGCTACAAGTTACGCTATGATATCCACTAACACCACCCTGGTACTTCACAAACAGCTCTTGCGATAACTTTGCACCACACTGACCAACGGTACTCCAAGATGTCCAAGATCCAAGATCTGCTAGAGCTGGTTGCCAGTTAGGTGTAGAACGTCAGTACCGTTGGTCAGTGCCGTGCAATGTTATCGCACGAGCTGATTGTAAAGCAACAAGGCAGTGTTAGTGGATATTATACCGTAACTTGTAGCTCTTTGGTCCTCTTTTCTTCTTACACATTGAGAGAGGCTTCCATTTGACACAAGCTCCTATTCAAGACGGGCTTTATTATTTCAAAACCTTCAAATCAGTTTTCTAATCACTATGCCATATGTAGCACCGGTAAACAATGTAACAACTAATCGAGCCGTGCCTTCATTTCATTAAACAATATTTGCACAGTGGGGAAGGATAGGGGGGAGTCTTTTTCTCAAGAGGGACTACTAGTCGAGTGAGTACAGTGTTTAGAGCTGGCACTTACCGCAACATCGGCTGGCTCACAGTAGCTGGACGACACTGCTGACACAGCTTGCTCAACAGCAGGTAATCCCTGAATACTCTGATACCAAGCACTGAGTACGGGGTACGATGCTAAGCATCAAGTAGCACACATCCCAAACAAGAAATGGGTTAGCTCACGGCAACTGAACTCGCCTTCAATATCAGAAACTTCAATTGCATCGTTGCCATGCACAACTGATCACAAGTTTGACATATGCCGCAGCAGAGCCTGGATGGCTTTGAGGTCTGCAGCAGTGGAGCCAAAAGGTAAGTAACTACCATACAAGCGGCTGTGGACGATGCAGTGCTCCTTGCACACATATCACAGACCATATCACAGCTATAATCAAACTACTAGTATACGCAGAGAAACAATAATACCATTGCAGATTTGCAATATCGTTGCTTTGGCTTCAGTAAAATCGGAACAAGAGCCGCCAAATGCACACATATCGAAAGAGGCTGTTCCCAGGGAAAATTCACAACAGACAATGACTGACAGACATTACGAGCTTTACCACACATGTACATACCTAGTGCTTGGTGGAACAATGACAGCAATGGCAGCAGACTACCAAACAGCATACAATCAACAAGGCTCAGTGACTGAGATGCATCCTGTGTAGAACAATACAAAGGCATAGGCAATGTAACTTCCGTGTAAGTAACATTCATGCATACACACACACACACACACCACACACACACGCACGCACGCACGCACACACGCACACACACACACACCTAAGCACGCACCCGTGCACACACAAATCAACTTGAAATGTCAGATTTAAAAGGATACAAATCACACAGTGAGAATTCTACATTGCACTTGCTCCCGAATGTGCTTGCTCTGCCACTTTCAATAGCAGGAAAGCAGTGAAGCTCTACAACACTGCACTAGTTTATACACAAAGTCTGCACATTCAAATGCCAAGCACAGCTCTACCCAACGCACTTACACCAACAAAGCGCTTCTTGCCACCCAGTGATGCCTCCAGTAAAGCGAGGGCAGCCTGAAGGGGACCACTACCATTGGCATCATCAGCCTTCAATGCATCAGCAACGCATGGCTGGCGGATAGACAACAAAACAAGAGCCAAAAAAAGTATTGCATATATTTAACTACAGATGTGCTAGGTGCCATCTTATGATCTGACCCGCAGAAATAGGGCCCCAGACTTGCACAGTCCTTGGTACCCTGAAAGTGGTACAGATGCTGTTGGATGTACACATGCACAAATAAAGTGATACACTGGAAACCGAGCCATGGTGCCAGCTTTGAACCTTGGGTTGGATCATTTCACCCAGCACAACTGCACAAAGTACAGACCACAACTAATAGGTGTGCAGAAGAAATTCATCCCCAGCGTGAAGGCAGCAGCACAGTACAACCCATGCCCCAAGCACATAACCTTCATCATCAACTTGTACAGTGGGTGGTCTGAGCAATAGAGATTAAAACACAGACTGATCAGTGCTGGACCTACCAGCAATGTGGAGTTGTCAAATTCACACCACTTGTCCAAAACGCTACACGAACAAGTCTCATCTACACCGTACAGCCATCTAGCAAAACAGAAACATACATACAGAAAATCTGTGAAACCTAGTCACGAGAATATCTCCAGTTTGCACTGTGGATTTGAGGCCTGAACGTGCTTCAGGGTAAATCAGTATACACAAAAGTGCCATATTTACCGGAGTATAACGCTCACCCCTTTCTTGACCAACGTCTTGGCCATGCAAGGTGTGTTCGGAGTATCATGCACAGCCTGGGTTGAGAAAGATACCTATTAGCCTAGTCAAGACACAATCATACACACCGGTCTGATAGTGATAACACCTCTCCATGGTAGGTAGTTAGGGCAACACTTCAGCTACCTGCAGACTTCCAAAAGGGATACTCTCGAAACTTGACAGTACAGGCACAGACTTGACTTGCGCCACCAGGAAATCATGTAAGTTATGTGCATATGGCTTATGTCGGTTCAGAGGTGGCGAATCTCACACCCATTTCATACATTAGGCATTACATAGCGCATCTAAAATGCACCCTATACATGTGCTTCATCAGGCACGTAGTTTGAAGGGGTTGCAGGTTGCTTGAAAAACCCTTGTCGCTATGTCATGCATTGTCTCTGTCTTAGCAGCTACTTGGATTTTGTCTTCAATCGCAAAATAACGGATGACGCATGAAGCACGTACTAACGAAATGCCATGATTTCCCAAGTTTCAAAACATGCCCAGTCTAATGCCATGACGCAGCCCTAGCACTACACATGCTATTCTGTGCACTCAAATGTGGCGTTACTACAGTTGGGCTCGGTGAAGTCCGACCCAAAGTGCATATTTGGCGCCCTCAACTTGAACGGCCAATTGATGCCCTGGAACTGGTCAAATGCGGCTGAACGTACACATGCACAAATGCAGCGGTGTCATCAGAACTGGTCCAGGGCACCAGTTTTGTCCTTCAGGTCGGATTTCAGTGAGCGCAACTGTATAATCATGAAGTTGGATCTCTCTGGCCAGAACAGTAGGTAATGCCAAATAACTCAGCTTGGACAATATCTTTGAAGAGCAGGGAAGCGTACTATTCAAGTCGTCGAATCAACAGTACGATCAAGTTAACTTAACACATGGGATGATGAACATGTACATCCTCTGGAGAGCTTACCGGCAAATGGAAGTTGTTGAGAACAGCGTTTGGCCATCAGTGGTGAGAACAACCGGAAACTGCAATAATATACAAATTGGTACACACACGCATGTATACGCACGTAAGCACGCACAGACACACACACTCAAACTCAGACATGCCCATCGCGGAAACGATGGTAGCGAACAGCTATGTTAGACATAGCAACTTGTGCTGGGATTACACCATTCAACACACACACACACACACACACACGCACACACGCACACACGCACACACACGCACACACACACACACACACACACACACACACCTTATTATATCAAATAAACATGACAGTTCAAGTGGAGAGTACCGCAATCCCTCCACAGTAACACGCACATTAGTAAAAGAAAGGCCTTATCTTCGAAGGAGACAGATTAAATCCTAAAAAAATAGTGAAAATGGGTACTGACAAGACGGCCTGTGCTGACATGAATTTTTTTCTCTTTCGTCTTCTCTATGTTTTACTTGTAGTAGAATCATGTGAGGATACTTGTGGAACGAAAACAGCATCATGACAGCTTTGAGAGCGTGAAGTGACTTACATTTCGAGCAAAACCAGGAACGTTCTTGAGAGATTGCCAATTGAAACCTGGGGAACAATACAATAACTCATCGTACATTTCCAAATCTACATTATTCCTCAAAATCGAAGAGCATACCAGACGCAGGCAGCTTCACAACTTGCAGCTGTTCTCGACCGAAAACTGATGAAGCGAACAGAACTTTCACCGTCTCCGGGTGATAGGGAGACGAGAAACACTTCGACTTCGCTGTCTTCCCAGCCATTTCAATTAGCTCCACTCCACACACCAAGCACTTCAGCTTCGAAGCTTCGTGGACCATGTACCATAGGCAGTGGCCGTGGACATGCCATGAAAGTCACAAAAAATTCCTTTGTCTGCATGCACGATCCAAGGGAAAATCCCTCGTAGAATCATGTAAAAAAGTTGCTGGGAACGTAAAAATATTGTACTGCGCGGGAAAATACAGTCGACAGTCCAGTCGACATGCGCGTCCGATCCGATCGAGCAAGAGTGCTCTTCTGTCTTCACTTGCCGTCTTGCATGCTTTACTTGCAGTTGTTAGATCTACATGTAGATCTACGTGGAGTCTACCGCAAAAGAAAGGTGATCTAATATTCTCTTCTGTGAATCTCGCGTTATACATCTCCCGGATCCCTGAGCTGTGCCAAGAAAAGATCACATACCGGTAAACCCTTTTGTATGTATCCCAAATTTTAGGCCAAACTACAACGGCCACATATGCACACTGTATGTCACAATGTGCAATACGATTGCTATGCAAGCTACAGCTGTACAGTCATGTACATGTATGCACATGTATGCACATCATTCACATCAAGCAGTGGACTGAAAAGAACATACTAGTAGCCTTGGTGCTTCAGGCAAAACAGGATTGGACTGTGACCTCAATACGATCACATCGTGCATTTCTTAATGATAATATCTGGGCTATAGATCATGCATGCAATACTTACCATGATCACACAACACACCTGTGCTATTCTCCTACGCTGGCGTAGTGAGACAGTGCACTCTGAGCTCACTGCAGATCTATTCCTGAACACTAGCATTAGCATCAGTCAGCTGTGTTTTTTTTTACTTAGCTGACTGTGCTGTCACAGCTACAGTCCATTTCAAAACGCGTACCTAGGCAAAAACCGTTATGCCAGCATCTATACCACATAAAATCTGTGATCACTTTGTGCATAATTTTTTCCAAATTGGGCGTCTGTTATCCAATCCTTTAGAAACTATATGAGAGTAATTGTGGAGCGATCCTGAGCAATATTCCGAAAACTATTCTCAAAAAGTTCCAGCCAAATTTGAAATATTTCAAAAACCCTACGCGTCTATAGTTTTGAAATGCACTGTAGGCCCGTTTAAAAAACGATATGTGAGCCAAGCCTCAGGTCATGGCTACACACCCTGCTTCTTTAGTTGTTCACGGTTTGGCTCAGACAACTACTGGTTAAAGTCCCAATTCCTCCAGTACTGTACTCGCTCGAAAAACTGCTGCAAGCGACTCTTTCTGAAAAGAGTACTCACACAGTTTTGCATGACTGTGGCGGTGTGTGCAATACGCGCAGCTGAAACTATGCCTTCAGCACATGCAAGGAGCAGGAAAGTGTTACTACATGACTTAGTGGTGAAACGAATATTCGAACATTCGTTCGGTTGGTCACATTCGAATATTCTTTAATTCGCATTCGAGTATTCGTGACGTCACTTCGAATGCAGTGCATGTACATACATGCACGCCAAACACAGTACAGACAGTGCTTACAGCCTGCCTGTGACTTTGTACTGCATGTTTGCACATGTATGTGCATACTGGACTGCCAATGTTGCACATAACATGACTGTATGAACTTCAAAGTAGCCTTATGTGGCAGTGCATTTTATGTGGCACTCCCGTTTGTCATACCTAATAGTAATGACAATATCCATCAAATGACTGAGAGGAGGGCATGTGATGTCATCCGTGTTACCAAAAGAATATTCGTACGTTCGTTAAGCCAAAGAATATTCGGCTAGTAGGTTTTGACATTTGTTTCACCTCTACTGCATGTACTGCACTGCTTGTCCATTCACTGGCTTGGGTGTCGTGTAGCCGCTCAGTTGGTGGGGCTCGGGTACATATACATGCGTACAAATGCAGGGGCAGTGTGCGAAACTGCTAAAAATGTTAGAGCTGTACAAAACTCAAAAAGCATCATACCATTTGCAAGGAAGAATTACTCGCTGGACTGGAGTATTTGCTCAGTGCTTCCCAAGCACTCAAGCAAGAAATGAGCACTCAGTCACCACCGCTTCGACAATGTGCAGTACATGTACTGCACTTGCAATGAAACGAGCAGATCAGTCTGTGTATTACTATGATATGTCACAAAGAGATGTGCCATTCTCATCTGGCATATCCGAACAGCCGGGCTCTCTGCCGCCATTACACGAACGGCACTCAGTCTCAGGAGTGTCTTCAGCTGGTGGTTACTCATACAGAAACTGCAATGCCATATCTTCTGTCAGCATGCAAGTTGCTTCTATGCGCTTCCTGCAGTTTGTATACATGAAGTAGCTCCTGAACTTTGCTGCTGGTAACAGTTAATTTTTTTAAATATATTTTTTATGTGTTTTTATCTTATTTTTGTGAATCCTTCCCGGAAGCAAATTTTATACATTCGTGTAATTACATTTGTGTAATTACTCAGCGTTATTTGCAAGAATAATACTAATAATAACAGTTAATTTACACGTTACTGCCCTCATTTGAGTTTAAACTCACAGCAAGATAATCATGTTGCAGCACACATACCTTCCCATTATACCTTCGCAACTGCAACTGATACCAGTCAAAATTAAAAGCCACGTTGCACGAACAATACTCGTAACTACTGAAGTATTGCAATAAATCTTGGGATCACAGCAGTGTGCATGCCGACAATACATACTGTGTACAGGCATACTGGAAGCATAAACAGCTACTACATAAATATGTTTTTTTTAACAATTTAGCTCATGCATCTATTCGCCAATGGCGCAGCTCAAGTACACCAATATACACTCTAATTCTAAAGGATTTGAAGCATGCTGCGACTTTCAAAGATCCTGCTAGGCTGTTTTTCTATCACAAAACAGGAAAGGCCACTGATAGATAACAGAGGATTCTCTATGTGCTTTAGAGCCAGCTGGGCACAAGGGTACAGCAGAAATTGTCCAAGCAGCCCATATGCATTTAGCCATACTCTAGTCCGCTTTTTCTATCATCGAGGATATTAGCTACAGGAGCTTTGCGTGGTCTAAAAGAGAGAAAAAAAGATATACGAACGGTTCTGAAAAGGGTTCAAGGTCGATCATCCCGTGAAGAAAGAGCGATCGGCTACCTTACAAACATACATTGGGGTTGGTTCCCGATCAACGCCAGTAACACCAACAAGGTCCATGCCAGGAGGAGATCACAGTTGTCACACTGCATGGAGGTACACCGTGAGCTTGTTGCTTATCTTGGTCTGGGTGGCAGAACTGGCAGGCCACCATTACCTGGCTGCGGTAAACCAGGCAAGTCTCTATTTGCTGAGCGTAGCGAGTGACGAGGCGCTGGCTTAGGGCGTCCTGGTTGCTGAGAAAAGAGGAGGTGATGCAACAAGAGAAAGCAGATATACCAGTATATACATGTACCGTAAAGTACCGCCAGAGCGCCCCGTCTCGCCAGAGCGCCCCGTCTCGCGAGAGCGCCCCACCTTGATTTTACAGCCAGGGAAAGGAAAATCGTATGGCAGAGTGCAACGAAGTTTATACGATGTGAGAACCTTAGTGTACTAAGGGCACACGTGGCAGGTTTTTGTGTAGAGCTTGTGTCCACTCGAAGGTACAGATTGACTGCATAATGTGGAATATGTGTACAAGGTTCGTGTCGTATGACCTACAGACAGCAGACCACCTCCACAATACGACCACGAAAGGATGAGATGGTGGGGCGCTCTGGCGGTACTATTATAATCAATCAGACTTGAGAATAAGTGGAGCCAGAAAGTTAACTAAAAAGCCACAACTATGCCCCAGATGACACAAACTACCTGTACATGACATTGTATATATTTCCTCTTGCACACAGTCATGCACACAAGCGCACTGTTTTAGTGAAACGAGAGAGCTTGGAAGCTCAGGGCCCTACGCTATGCTTTTTTGCCTTGATGACCTAGACAAAAAAGCATAGGGATGTTATAAATTCTTATAAGTTTCTACTTTTTGTTTTTAGACATAACCTGGGATTCGAACCCGCACTATCGCCCTGCATCGATCCCCTGATACACTTCGCATACATACTAATTCTTCCAAGTTGCTTCACGTTATGATCTTGTATTTGAAAGCCCTATTTGAATATGCATTGTGGCCAGCTGTCTTTGATTGTACGGTGCGGTACGGGATAGGTACGGGACAGGTACGGTCGAGGCTAATACGACACCGTCTACCGCCTTGATGACGGCAAAAAAAGAAAAGGGATGTTAAATTTTTCAATTCTCCTATTTTTTCAGGCATTATCTGGGATTCGAACCCGCACTATCGCCCTACATGCATTCCCCCATACACTTCGCATTCATACTCATTCTTCCAAGATGCTTCACGTTATGATCTTGCGTTTGAAAGCCCTATTTGAATATTGCGGCCAGCTGTATGTGGCCAGCTGTGTTTGATGGTACGGTACGGGACAGATACGGGATAGCGCCAGGCGTGACACAAACACACAAACAAACAAACACCAAATTAAAGCTGTGTGGACCCTGGCTAGCGCCAGACGTTACTGAAGTAACGTCTTCTGCATAGCTACGGGAATAATTATAATTATGGTTACCTACCGGCAGGGTTGGTGGTTCCACACTCCCCATGTGCTGCAGCAACGTGAAACAATAAAATTTAAATAAACACACGCACCTTTTGACCTGTTGACGCCCATCGCCAGAGGCGATGCTACGGCAGAAGCCATAGCAATATGTGCTGGGATTGCGCCATTCAACAGTTTGAAAGGCTGAATGAAGGATTGACCGCCACTATTCAGCCTGGTCTACACCACACAGCTATGAAGTGGCTTTTTTCTGGTCAGCGAATCCCTACGATCTTTTCCATTTTTTTCCCGCACACACATCACACCACATACTCCGGCATGCACTGGCTGTTGGTAACCACTCGGGAGAATGAAAGAAAAGTCCGGAGTCTAAGAAAGAGAAGAAAGACGTGTGTGACCATAAATCGGCGGGAATCGAACCCACGACCTCTCGATTGGAAATTGCTACACATACCACTACACCCGAATATGGGACACACACACACACACCAGTTGTCTATTGTGTATGAAAAATTGCCGGTTGCTATGCATGATGTCCCAATGACATACATGTAGCACTTGTTCTACACTTGATTGGAAACTCGTGGCCTAGCACGAGGGAAACATGGATCCAGCGAATGGGATTTAAGTCGGCCCTTGACCACTTTGTGATGTGTCTGATCTACTCACCTCCCACCGTTTTATAATAATTATAAGCTGCACGTGGGCCTTGTTCCTAGAGGGTGGTGGCGTTCCTACGGATGTGGACAATTCAGTCTGACTGGGCCGGTCTGACGCAAAGCGTGGAATTTCTTTTTTTTTCTGCATTAGCGTGTACTTCAAAGTACTTACATGTAGTTTATTTTATAGTGCACATGCTCGCCTGCATACCTTCTCTTCTTTTTTTTAGATATTTTCTTACCAATCGAAATTAATTAGAGGTTTAAGTTTCTGATCATTTGACGAGCGCCGTCAGCTGAGCCCCCTGATCGGTTGCATAGCTTTACAATAAAACTTCCTGCCTTGTGGCACTTGCTTCTGCACATAAACATTATCCACTAAAATTCGTTTCCAGTTTGAGAGATGTGAAAAGTAAGTTTATGTACGTCAAATCACTATCAGTTGAGTCCTACCTCATACTCATCTTGGTTCGCCAGGGCCGATGGGGGAATCACAGCTGCTGGATCCATTTGCTGCATTCAAACAAGAACAGAAGGCAGTAAAAGAAGACGAAGGCATCACTGGGTTGTTGCAGATCAATGATTATGTACTAGCAGATACACCGGCATACAGTCATGTCTGAGTGCAGTACTCTGTTGGTAAGGCTGAGTGGTCCTGGGGCATACTCAGCACCCGCATACAGTCATGTCTGAGTGCAGTACTCTCAGCGGTTGGTACTGAGTGGTCCTGGGGCATACTCAGCACCCGCATACAGTCATGTCTGAGTGCAGTACTCTGTTGGTACTGAGTGGTCCTGGGGCATACTCAGCACCCGCAAACTGGCATGCATGCTGGGAAACCCTACATGTAGCACAACCCGCCTTCTCATCATGAATCGTGTCCCAGTGCCTTGCTTGCAATTCTTGGCGAAATGAAACGTGCTGTTCCTAACTCAGTTTATCCATGATCCTGATCCAAAATGTTTTTAAAAATTAACTATAATATTAGGGAGTTACAAAGGGAAAAGGTCCGCTGGCGATAAAGTTGACAGTCACCTCCAGGACTCAAACCAGGGACCTTTGCTTTAGGCTAGCGATGCGCTAACCACCAAGCTATGGTGTAGCCATCATCCCAGTAGGGCCTTTCAACATTTTCTTCAGCCTTCGAACTTTATTATTATACAATACAGTCATGTAACTTGTTATATTCCTTTTGATATTCCATAACAGTACTGTGCACAACTTGGCAGTACACGTGCACCGGAAATGCAAATATGATACAGGGAATGCATAAAACAGGTCTTCAAGTTAGGCATCATTGCACTGCATTGTGCAAGTGTAGACACATCACGGTGTTTTAAAATAATACTATTGTGTTTTGCACTCACCTCATACTCTTCAGTCGGTGCCTGCAGTGTGCATGCGGCATCAACACGCAACAAGACATACAGCATTACTCACGGTACTCAGAAAATAGTACCCTGTGTATGCACAATGTACTTGTGTCATGAATTCCGTAGTAATGCTCACGCCTCATTCTTTGAGCCCAAAGTAATGTCCTGGAATTTTCTTCACTAACTACTATTAAAGCTATTTTGTGCTACAGCGTACGTTACTTATACTTCAAGTAAAAATAAAAGGATGACATTAACCGAGACCATCTCGCAAGAGGGTGGACTTGTCTCGATACTCAGAACGAAATGATGGCTTGCACTCAACAGTGAAATGGATATGATACTCGCTAACATGCCAGACTGAGACACTTACCGATGACGACGATGGATGTACACTGTGCTCGTCCTCGCCAAACGCTCGCACTGGTGGCACACTTGCAGACACGGCAGCCTCTGCAGAAGGGCGTCGATAGTTTTCCGTCTTAGAGATATCTACTTGATGGTAGCTGACTCGTGACGCCGCGTTCTTAGTACTGCCAGCAGAAGCAGTGTTCGACTTGGGGCGAGATTTGGCACTCAAATCCACCTGGGTGTAGTTGATACGATTGGCAGTAGCCGGTGCTGCTACACTTTGTACAGTGTTAGACTCCGACGGTTTCCCTCTAATCTCCACTGGTGTGTAGCTGATACGCTGCTGTGCCGGTTTCTGTCCTGCTGCTGCTGCTGCTGCTGGTGGTGGTTTAGGCTGCTTGCTTGAGAAGTCAATTTTGGTGTAGCCATCTTTTCTGTTTGGCGGTCTGCCACTAGATGCACTTATAGACCCTCTAGCATCACCTGGACCATGCGAAGGTGGTAGACCACCAGCAGCACCAGCGGTACCTGAGGCTGAGCCACCCGGGTATCCAGCCGAGTGATGATTGCTTAGTGGTGTTATTTCAGGATACGACACTCTTCCCTTGGTTGTATCTACTCGCTTGTTTTTTGGTCGCTTTGTTTCATCAAACGAGGCTAGAGGCAAAGAAACGAAAGAAGCAAAGGCACAAAAAAGTGTGACAGCTGTGCATAACAATTCTGTAAGTCTGCAGTACACAGCGTGTTGGAGGGAATGATCAGGGGTGTCGGACACGGTACGGTCACTACCGTATTGACCGTACCACTTTTTGCCCCAGGTACCCCGTGAAGCAATCAAATACACTGATCTGGACTCTAAATTTCCAAAATTTTCGGCTCAGCCCCCCCCCCCCCCACCACGAGTAACTTGTACTTCAGATGGCAGACCATAGCACACTAAAATACCTTTCAACGCCCCTGGACTGATGCTACAAGTGTCATATTTTTATCTTGCACCGTCAACATCATTGGATGCTGAACACCTGTACATGTGTATCATTTTCTAATACTGTAAGACCAGATATTTTAACGTCAATTAAAGTTAAAACGATCTCCGGATTTTTATGGGTTAGCGAGGTGAAATTTTAACGAATTCCGTCTCAAAACCGGCAAATGACTCTACATGTACATATCGTTTTCTACATAACGACTTCAACATGACTGGTCTTACTGTATTCATCTTGTGACCTGGGATAGCGGTGAGCAAGCATGTGTACTTATGGTTATTCCTACATGTACACAGCATTGTGCGAATGAGTGTAAAATAATACTTGAATTAAATTATTAAACAGCACACATATAGCCTATTATGACAAATCAAATGAAGGTCACCCATCTCTCGACAACATTGAGCCAATGCACTCACTCTGAGGCATATTGCACTGCTTCCAAAAGTAACATGTTGAGAAGTAAAATATCATTCCTAATTAGGGGTCGTCCGTAATTTTCGAAAAATTAAAAAATCCGTCCTCGTGCAAAATTGTCTCTGACCCACCCACCCACCCCCATTTTTTCTCATTAATTTTTTGATTTTTCCTAATGCCCAGCTCGAAAATAAGAACTCTTCACTCCGGCCGTGTTCACTGACTGCACCTGTGTCAAGTACTAGAAGCTAGTAGTTCATATCCCTGTTCATAGTAGTCCCTCCCCTCCCAATCTGTACTCTCTCGTACCAGCATCGTTCAATGCGACGGACCCCACGATAGGCGGTCAGCCTTTGAAAGGTCATCCTAATAAAGTTATTATTATTATTATAGGTCTACCGACGGCCATGCATGTCCTACAAATTACATCATACTGGTGTTTGCGACAATCGATCCTACAATACACGTATATACACCACATGAATACACAGTACAGTCAGTGCAACAAGTGTATAAAAGTCACTGAAAAAAACAAAAAAAGGTACGAAAAATCAAAAAATTAAATTCCGCCAGCGCTCTTGACCACCCACCCTCTTTCTGCCTGAGGACGGATTTTTTAATTTTTCGGAAATTACGGACGACCCCTTAATGCGTTCCCGTCTGATCACTCGGTCACTTACTCGGTCACTTATTGCCATCACTTATTGCCATCTGAAGGACTTTGTAGGACAAGAGTCCTTCCCTTTGCAGATGACATGCGTGCTTAGGGCCTTAGGTACGTATGCATTCGTTTGAAAATGCAGAACCACGCAGGCATTGGTACCCATCTCCCTAAGTGACTTTAAAAAGGTTACGCAATGATGGCTTGAATCCCGTTTGCATCTACTGTGTCCATGACTTACCGGATGGGGAAAGACTGCGATTGGCAGGAGCAGCAGCAGCGGCAGCAGGATCATTTCGAGGTAGGGTTGGCAGTGGGCGTGCCGATGCTCCAAGATCTCCACCTAGTGATGCAGAAAGATCCAGAACGTGAAAGCAAGGATGACAGAAAGCACAAGGGCATTTAGGCAAGTGGCCTATCTCACCAGTAGGATGAGAGAGAACGTAAATGGAGGTGCGGGGGGGGGGGGGGGGGGGCAAGACCGACTACCATGAACACATCACCAACCCACTAGCCAAGCTGGAGACCTTTCTTTAGGCAATGTAGCAATGCTCTATCCATGATACTCCCCTCAGCGAAGTCCTGAATTAAGTCATGACAGTACTCTACACTGATGGTGTGGTCATGATGTGGTCATGAGTCCACATGGGCTCACATGATGCTCACTGTCAATGGGTGATGCAACAACTAGTCCCTTGACTACTTTTGTCTATGCTCACACATCAAATGATGACACAATCGCACACTGAGCAATCTCTAACGGTTACCCAGGGCCGTAGCAGGCGGTCCGGCAGGTCCGGCAGCTGCCGGACCAATATTCGGCCAAAAAAAGAAAGAAAAAAGCAGCTCACACATGTAAGCAGCTCAGGATGTCCACCCATGATGTGTGCAATAAGTAGAGCCGTAGTGAGGTAGTGAGGTGTATAAGCAAGTAAGTAGAGGTAGTAGATTCTACATGGTAATAGCAAGAGGACACTACAACATCGAGTGATTACTTTGAAGTTTGAACTCTAGTTGTACTCAAGTACATGTCATGTACGTGTTGTTGCGAATACCATGTACATAGATCTATGTGGGTGTTGAGGTCGGATCTTGCTGGACCAACCAAAATGGGGCTGCTACGGGCCTGTAATACCTGCTACCTTAGTTCTACTGATGTGTATTGGGAATAATGCTTACCGTCAACACTGACAGGCTGTATCCCACAGGCTGCGTCTCTAGCTGCCTTGATGTGCCTATACCAGTCCTGCACCTCATCGTCGCTGCCACATTTGAACACGTACACTCTGTCGGCCGTGCTGACTCTGATGCAGAAATCCTTGCCTTCATACTCCGACAATAACTCCACTGCCGTGCAATTTCCCAGGTTGATGCCATCAATCTTATCCTTCACTTCCTTCTTTTCATTACTGTAGTAGTCTAAATGGCCCGACTCTCTCAGCCGAAAATAGCGCTTTCTCCATTGCTATGTGCAGTAAGCAGAGGAAGAAGCAAGCACCACCTTTTCAGATGTCCAATGAAAACAATAATTTATTGTTGTTATAGCTTTCTTCAAGAAAGTTTCTGAAGTCACGATTTTCACAATGGCCAGTGGCCGCTAAGAGAATCATTGTTGTGGTTTGAATTCTTTATTCTCACGATGGCACCATCGCCAATAAGAGATGTTGGTGCTGTTGTCGTTGCTACTGCTCTTTCGGTCTTTGTTTGTCAAGGTGGAATACCGAAACAGGCCTATGTGACTATGTGCTGCGTGTCACCAGGGGTGTTGTGCGAGCTGTGTTTTGCGATACTGCCAGCACAGTTCAGTGTTTACTGAATGAGTGAATGTTTTGCACTGACTAACTGTTTCCCCTGTCCCCCCCCCCCTCCCCTACTATTTTTGGTAGTTGCAATTCACGTGGCCATCTGAAGCACCATGTGTTATGTGGTGTCCCATTGGGGCTTCATTCATATGCGCAGTTTGTTTGCCAATGCTGTTTTTCCTTCTGCTGTTCAAGTTCTCATCTACATGTACATGTACGTCCTCACACTGAGTCACATGCTCAATCAGTCTTGACACCGAGTCACTGCGTTCCGCACTGGTACCCTGCGGAACTTCTTATCCCACACACGGACATACAACGGACCTCGCACGCGCACTGCCGACACACACCGCACCTCGCACTGCGGCTACGCAGCGTGGTGCTAGGCGCTAAGGCACGAGGCTGCGCACAGCCCACCCGCATCCGAGAAAAACACGACTTCTTCCGCACACACGCACAGACACCTCAGAGCATCCTTTAGTTTAGGCCTCGGTCTGCCTTCCTCCGGTCAGTATTAGCACAAGCAGATATACGAGGCGTTTCATGCTAACACAGTAACAGGTGCAAAAATGTCGCGAGGAGTAATAATAATTACAAACCAGGACACACGCACGCACGCAAACAAGCAAACATTCTTACCGATAATCTACTCTCGAGAGGAGGAGATTTTACAAGAAAGCCTTCTTTGAGCACAGCACCGCTCATGTCTCCAGCACCACAGCCTCTGGACACTACACTGACTCCAAAGTAAACTTCCAGAAGGAATACTGGCAATGGGAAAAGTGGAAAAGGCGCAACAATAGGAAGATTGTGGAATTTTGAATGTCTAAAACTGAGCGCCTCGTTTCGCCGAACACTTGAAACTTAGAAGACGGCCCACCAAGCAATATTGACTGACTTGTACTGGCTTTAGGCTTGTTGCAAGGGTCTCATGCAAGCGATTGGCGAACTGTGCCTCCATCAACTCCTTCTCTTCTTCGGCCCGGAGCTATGCCTGCAGATCGGACTGCCACAGACAGTCGCGTTGGCATGCATGCAGTCAGCATTGGTCGGTGCCAGCTCGGGTAATGACGACTAACAGTCAGTACAGAGTCAGTGGCATGGTGGCAAACTGGCAATGGCATGGTAGTGATCATGCCTTCACGCCACGGCTTCATGGTCATGGTTGCACTGCATGCACTGCACTGAACAGTCTGAAGCCGCGGTTGCAGAAGTGTGCAGTAATCTAATGCGCGAAGCCGAAGGTTTGCCTTCGCTACCCGCGTATACGCGTAGTCATGGTAGTCTGATGTAGACCTACCTACATCGTACATCATGGTCATTGACATATCTACATGTCATTCATGTACATGAATATATGAGGGGGGAGTCGACTCATACAGTTATAGTATACTCTCACAGTCATCATGGTCATAGCAAGAGTACATCATTCTGTACTCTTGGCAGTCTTGCTCATACTCATAGTCATAGACTCATACTATCATAATTCATAGTCATACCCAAACCTTTTACATGTATTTGGTTTTGTTTGGGTACGACTCCCTGATGTCATGTAGCCCCCATGTACCTGATGTACCAGTAAATGTAAAATGTACACTCGATCAGTAGATCTTCATATTCATAAAGCTGTTTTCTGATGATCGCCTACAAGTACAACAGTACGTTTCCGGTGGAACAAAAGTGGTTAAATGTCTCTACTCACGAGTTTCATGCTGAAAAGCAATCATCAGCAGATAGGATAATAATTATTACTCAATTGACATCCCTACGTAAGAAGTAGGTCGTTTATTATAAGTAATGAAAATAAGGAGGGAAAGTAAGGAGGTCCTTTGGTACTCCCTGCTGTGGACCAGTACATGTACCATGGCCCGGTGGACTCTACTGCATGGCAGACTACCAAGTACATGTAGATCTACCATACTGTACTGGTTGTCGTGTTGACCATACTTGCCACTATAATAGTATTATCATCAACGACAGCGTAGCAGACTACAATGCAGCTGCAACTGCGCAAGTAGGCTCTGCTCCGCAGCATCACTTCTCATCAGCTATATGTATGGTCATCATCAAGTCATTACAGAGCTTTCAAGTGACTACTATTACACATGTATGTAGTGCTTTCTGGACCAAACCACCAAGATGATTACTTATTAGTAGTAGTAGATACTACAGTACATGTATTACCGGATCCATTGCATGGCATTGGCAGGGAACAGTCTCTTCAAAGCCAGTAGATCTGCACACCGGTAGATCTACACTACGGTCAGATGGTAGACCTGATCATGATGTGAATATCAAAACTATTCATAGTGACTTGCACGATGACATCATGTACTGCCTGACAGGTCTGTAAGTCTTCAGAGAACATCAACGTATTCGAACGTCGCCAAGAAAATGTTGCTTGCTCTTGAGTGACATATCCTAGAACCACCAACTTGCAACTGCTGACATGTGTCTCACACACGCACACGCACACACGCACACACGCACACACACACCTGTCCTGTCCTGTCCTGTCCTGAACATTGCCGTTTCCAGTTACATGTCCCCACGTGTGAGGGGCCGACAGACATGGAGAGTTGGGTTGAGGCGCTGTGTCGCATCAACGACCTAGCGAGATTTCCTAGCCACTTCATTGATCCATTTGTTGCAGTTGTGTAGCTGGAATCCTCGGGTTGACTTGCAACAACGATCGCATTTGCTGCAGTGGGCTCTGCAGCAAGGTAGGGCGAGCCGCTGGCGGATGTCACACGATGGTCCAGAAGCGGTGGTTTGGTCGTACACTGGAGTGGCAGATGGGGGCATATCCAGGCATTTGTGGACGGCCAGTCCGCCAGGGCTGCGAAACCAGCGAAGACATGCGGTGCATTGCCTGCTGCCAGCCTGGTCTGCTACGGGTTTGCGACGCTCTTCAGTGCACTTGTGGCGTAGCAGGCCGCTCTTCGAGAAGGATCTGTTACAGATGCTGCATTGAATCCGTTCACGAGAGGCCGGCTGTGGTGGTGAAGCAGTTCTGACTGCTGTGCGCCACTCTCCCCGCTGCTGCGCGGTGTCGAACCAATCTCCTTCTAGATGGAGGTGATGGATATCAGTTCGGACGGCATCACGCCAACGCTTTCGGGGACCACATGCAGGGCGTGTGGGAAGCAGTGACCCGAATAGCAGCTGGCGAGGGGTGCGGTCGTCGTCCATCCTGGCAACGTGGCCAAGCCACTCCATCCGCCGTCGAAGCATGCGAGTTGGGATATCGTCCTGCTTGGCGTCATTCCAGATCGCCAGGACTTGGGTGTTCGTTATTCGGTCACTCCAGACTGCCTGTCGAGTAATTCCAAGAATCGACCGAATGCAGCGGAAGTGAAAAGTTGATAGGGCGGTGATGTCCTGCTGCAGAGGTACCCAACATTCGGAGCAGTACAGCAGCAGTGACAGTACGCAGGCTTCATAGACCACACGCTTCGTAGCAATGGACAGGTTAGCGTCCATGAAGACCGAGCGACGGAGTACACCAAAAGCCCGTGATGCCCCTGCAATGTGCGACTTGATGTCTTGGGAGGAGCGGCCAGTAGTGTGTACCAATGAACCAATAGCGGAACTCCTCGACACTCTCGACAGTGTTCCCTGCCACTAGTAGGGGAAGCCGGTCGGCGGGTGTGATACCATAGCCAGCTGGCATGACCTTCGTTTTGGCGAGGTTCACCTTGAGACCAAAGACGGCAGCTATGTCCATAAAGATGGTCAACACTTGTTGCGCGCCCGTGTGCGACCTGGCAATCAAGGCTGAGTCGTCAGCAAATTGGCAATCGTTGTGCTTCTTGATGACGTCGGTCGCTTTCCGTCGAAACAGCAGTTTACCACCTGTGTTTGTAGCAACAGGAAGACCAATATCAGGGACGTTCTCAATCGCCCTGTACCACAGTTGAAAGACAGCCCACATGTAGATGTAAAATAATGTTGGAGCCATGCAGCAGCCCTGCCGAAGACCATTGTTAACTTCGATTGGCTCGACCTGGATGTTGGCTAGAACAAGTGAGGCCGTCACGTGCGAGTGAAACGATTTGATGATGGTAATAAGATGGTCGGGGACACCAGCCCTGCTAAGTACTAGCCATAGGCACGAGCGATTTACGGAATCGTAGGCCTTGCGTAGATCCACAAACACAAGGAATCCTTTGCAGCGGTGTTCGTATAGCTTTTCGGTGATCTGTCGTACAGTGAAGACCATATCGGTGCAGGAGTGACCTCTGCAGAATCCACATTGCGTGTCGGGCAAGAGGTTTTCGGCTAGTGTCTGTAGCCTGCGCTGGATTAGTGAAGCAACAGCCTTCCCGAGGACATCCAGCAGTGCGATCCCCCCCCCCCTCCCACGACGAGACCAACATATCCTTATCCGATATGTTGGTCTCGTCGTCATTCAGCAAGCCACAATGCCCCAGGACGGTACAGCAGCAGAGGGAGAAGAGGGGGTGGGGTCGGCCGGCTGAATGTCGTGCATGCGATGGTGGTCTGAAGCGTGATGCTTGTATGTCCCAAGATGTGGTGTACTCTATGACATGTACCATCTGTCAACTTGTCAAGAAGAATACGTCGGGGAAACAGAAAGGACAACACGCAAGAGGACTGAAGAGCACTACAGACAAGCCAAGAACGCGACACTGGGAAAGCCATGGGGAGACCATTATCGACAAAAGCAGCACACCTTCCCATCGTCACCGCAGTTCTCGCCATTCGCCCATCTACAAGTTCTCGCCAGCAGGCAACGGTCATACGTTGACCGCAGAATCATGGAGGCACTATTCATGAGGAAGAGGAAGCCGGCAGTGAACAGTGACAATGGTTGGCGACTGTTGGGTGATGTGTAAATTTTCTGTCATTACCATAATTTGTGCAAGAATCTGTGCACTGTGTGTGTGTGTGTGTGCGCGCGTGTGTGTGTGTGTGTGTGCGCGCGTGTGTGTGTGTGTGTGTGTGTGTGTGTGTGTATGTGTGTGAGTGTTGCTAGAAGTGTGTATTTTTCTGCTTTGTACTCACACTAATAATCCTGCACTATCACTGCACTATATTTTCACTTCATACATATCACACAGAATCTCGCTTCCTGTCACAGTGTGGTATTGCAACATTTTACGCTATACCATCACACCTTTGGCCACTAGTACTTGTCACATACATGTACCGTATGGTATAGAAACCCCTGTTTTGTCTACAGTACTCAGTAGACTTATTCCTGATGATGGGCCTTGCCTGAACATTTGAGCTAATGTATATCAATAGCAGTGTAGCCTAGAGACCGTTAGAGGGTGTACAAGGTGTGTGTACAGGATGTATGGATTCAAGTATTGGCTACAGACAGTGGAGTCTCCAAACCTTGAGAAAAGTGTTGTACGAGTAGTCATGACTGTACTACAACATGTACAATTTACAAAGCTATCGATCCCCTACCGACGTACGTGTATGTCGACGACTCGACGTCCGCCTTTTGGTCATGACGTCACCATGGTCACTGAGTCCCTATTTTTTTGTAGGCCTACTTTTTACCAGGGAGTCGTAAAATTTACGACTCCCTGGCCCTGCTTTTTACCTTTTTCGACCACTCGAGTCGTCAGACAGGAAGTCCTAAGATACCGGTATTTTACTACTCCTTGATCACCATGACGTCACTCGTCAGCTACCTGGCCTAAACCGTACGGTAAAACGTAGAGAACTCAACTCATCTGCAATTGTGCAAAATTAATAGTTACTTGAAAAGAATTGTCAGTGCAGTGTTGTCGGAGTAAAGATCAGAATGCTTGGGACTGCTTCTCTTGTAAGGCGCGTGGGAGTTGCTCTTCCACTGTCGCGTTGTATGTCAACGCAAAGTGGATCTCAAGCAACGTCCGGTGCTGTTCCACCTCAACCTCCCAGAGCCAGATCAGCTAGACCCTTGAGAAACGCAAGATTGGAGAACATTGCCAAAAGCCATGAAGCAAAGGCAGCTTTCTATGAGAAAACTAGCAAGTCCAGTGCCCTCATGTTCGGCACAATGCTTGTCATGGTAGTTGGACTATGTATCCTTTTGATAAATCTCCGAATTATGTTAGACTGGTGTTGTGCAATATTTCTCTATACATCACGATCAGGTCTATGAAGCTTAATCGCTGCATGGCAGGCTATCAAGTGTAACCTGTGGCAGACAATTACATTCAGTTGGTAGTGATACAAGTAGTTGTACAAGTTGTCGATCACAGCAAGTTACTTGTGCTGGGATTGCGCCATTCAGCAGCTTGCAAGGCTGACGAATTGACGCCATTCAGCAGCTTGCAAGGCTGAAGAATTGGCGACCACTGTGTAACCTGGTCTACAGCACACAGGTTGTCGAAGGGGTTCTAGCCGGTGGATCCCATGCATGCACACACCAAGCACGCACACGCGCGTTCGTGAGTACGCGTATATTTAATGTGTGGGTGCCATGTTCGCATACCATGTAGTGCCACCGGAGTTCCCCCGCTTCCCCAGACTGTGCAACTAACTTGCCAGAGAATGGTCTAGGATTGTATCATTGCACAGTGCTGCTGCCAACCTTCCGTATTTGTATGGAAAATCACTCCTTCGTCCGCAGTACGGAAGTTGAGCAAAATGGTACGGAAATTGAAGAGGATCGATCAGCTACAGATATGTATGTAGAAGCATGGCGAGCGCAAGCTGAGCGATGTTTATATCTGTGCCAAAATGAGTGCATGCCATGCTTCAACTACATGTAACACAAAATACACAGAAGAACCTTGACTACCGGTCACAGTGCTCGACACACAGCGTGCAGAGCCTAGCACACACGAAAATCCGGTGGAACAAAAAAAAGTGATTAAATGTCTCTACTCACGAGTTTCATGCTGAAAAGCAATCATCAGGAGATACAAAATATCACGTCGTGGTACAAGTCACACATGTTTTGCACTAGCAAATTCAGCCACCGACAAGCGTGTGTGAGTGTCAAAAAAGCACAACACAAGCAATGCACACGGCAGTACGGAAAACACTGCAAAATACGGAAAGTCAGAAGTCACAGTGACAGTACGCAAAACAGGCCCAGTTATTTGGTAGCACTGATTGTATGATCATAAGATGCCATCCTGCTGTTCAAGTATATTACTGTATACTAGTACTTCACACCCTTTGACATTTTGTTGGAGTTGAGCTTCAAGCCCTGCACTGCTTGCACAACATGTCATCTATGCTGTATGAGTACGAAGAAGAGACTGGTTATAGGGTCGCACCGTACATTACTTTGTGGAGATCTCTATTCCGCCCTGGGCCACGATCTCACCACATAAGGGGTTGAAGCGTTTAACGGGGCACTTTGGCAGGATGTTGGTGTACTTGCGGATGTGTACTTGGTATGTTATATAATTGTGTTCTGTTAAAGCTTCAAAGTCTATATTGAGCTGAGTGCATGTTTGTGCGTTACTCTGATCTTTGCTTCATCTTGTTGCATACTATTTCGGCAATGCCTTGCTTCCTTAACTGAGGGTGTTCTAGATCTTTTGTCTGCGAATTATGTCCGCAATACGAGAGGTAGAAGTTCTGACCGGTTTTAGAACATTCCCAAGGCTTCCAATGCTGTCTTATGAAATGGACTGGCTCAATTTCCTGCACTGGCACACATGAGCAAGTGATAACTATATGGCATCTTCTTCACTGGCTGGTGTCAATCAACTTCTCGCAAGTGTAAGGTCCCTCCTAATGTCAAGAATTGTCTTACCAGCTGCACTTGGTTAGTTCTCTCGTCTTGAATGAATCGTACCCGCAAGGTGGATGACTGGCTGCCATTGCCAGTAAAACATTGTGTTGTTATAGCGTATAGCTGTAAGCAATTAGATCTACCCGTCCATTTGATTCTTTCTTTATGATGGAGCTGCGAGCTTTGCTACCAGTGACTGCCATATCCTGTGCATCCCATTGCTGCTTTACGCAACACCGAGGCTGGATCAGTCAGGGCACCATTGACTGCATACCGGCTCATGTATGAAGACTACAGTATGGTGCGTGTGTGTGTGTGCTATTGCTGTCGGTATTGCTGTCGCTCTTATTCATGTCTCTGGCCTATGCTTTGCTCAGGGATTGCCGATTTATTTCCAATCTCGGTGTTGTCCTTTGGAACCCAGAGGCCAGCTTCGCTGCCCCCCTCACCCTTTGTGCTACCATACTAGTTGTGTTATAGGCACAGTGGACTTATCTCCCCAAGTATACGCCTTTATCTCGTGAGACTGAAATGCTATCAAGCAAGCTCTACTGTATTGATTACTCATGGGTTGGATGTTTAGAAAAACTATTGCTTGAGCAACTACTCTTTTTGTAGTTGGCAATTGAGCCGCACCATGACAAAAGGGTGCTTATGGCAAAAAAAAGTTCACAAACTGAGTTATGGATACAGCGCAATGGCTGAATTCTCACTGCTTCTGTTGCAAAAAAAACGCGTTCAAAAAGCTTTATAAATCGCAACGAAAACTAATCGCATTCAAAAAGAAAATGTGCACTCTCAATATTGAATACTAAACTTTCAAACGAGTTAATCTCAGTTTGATATCGTGTGCCATAAGCACCCTTTTGTCGTGGCGCAGCTCAATTGGGAATACCTCTCCCAAATTCTCGGCCTTTTGTTCCCTGTTTTGTACCCAAATATACCAGTAGATAGTATTTTTAGATACTGCTCTAAATAAGTACGGGTACTCCATTTATGTATGTGAATGGATCATGATCTGATGGGAGTGCACATCTTTACCACAGTCGAAACTTACTCCAGAAAGGTTCACCCAAATGTTACCGTATTTCCCCGAATATCCTTCAAAGTTGCACCTTTTTACACTAAATTTCAAGGGTAAAAAGGGGGTGCGACTTACTATCGAGCATGACTTACTACTGAATCACTATGGCTAAAACCTGAAAATGGGGGTGCGACTTATATTCGGGGAAATACGGTACTTGGATCAAAATTAAAAACTAGTACGTAGCACTACACGTACTTTATGCATGGTCTCTTGCAGTATAGTGTGACCACATATTTTGTATGCAGTACGAAATTCAGTCAAAGTCCCAGGTGCGCATTTATTCATGGTCTCTTCGGTATAGTGTGACCACATATTTTGTATGCAGTGCGAAGTTCAGTCTCCGGCAAAGTCCCAGGTACGCAGTATACTGTACAGTGTACTGTATAGTGTATAAGACAGTACAAATTTTCGTTTGGAGTTAACTTTCGCTATGTTCGTAAGGGCCGGGTTCCACTGCGGCTCCGCTGCTCGTCTTTCGCGGCTTGAAACGTCATCATTACCATAGTGACCGCGGCTCGAGCTGGAGCAGCGAGTCCGCGGCTCACCGCGAGCTTTTGCTACGATTCTTCACCAAAAACTGCGAGCCGCGGTCGCGGCTCGACCTGTTTCCCGTACTGTGCATTGTTTTGTACGCCAGAATTTTAAAATTCAAATTTTAATTCGTTGCGCAGGCCAGAACACGAGGATTTTTTTGATTTCGCGTGCGCGCGCGCAGGCAGGTGAAACGTCATCAAAAAGTGTGGAGCACGACCGCGGTACCGCGAATGGCGAGTGTCAGTGGAACCGCGCTGCTCCGCTGCATGCAGCCAAGTGCCGCGGAGCCGCAGTGGAACCCGGCCCTTAGGGGCACGAAATACCGTACTCATGCGATTAGAGCACTCTCTTGAATAGTGCCCTAGTCTCCAAGAGCCAGTGAAAAATAAAGCCCTCTCTTGATTGCCCCCCTCCCCGGTCTTGTAACCAAGCCCATGTGCAAGTTTGGTGTTCTTTTGCTAATGTTCTTGGCCATTGCTTTGCACTGGTGTTTTCAGGAACAAAATCGCAGGTCTTGTTCCCGTTTCTGTGGAGTCGTGAGCGTTTACAGTACGCTGTAGGCTCTGTGTTTTCTTTGTTTTATGCTGGTTGACGCAAATGTACCAGCGATGAAAACATAGTGCCCTCTCTTGAATACTGCCCCATCTGTGATGGACATTGAGAAAATAGTGCCCCAGGGGCACTAATCGCGCGAGTACGGTAACTAAAGTTTGTAAGTTCGGATGGAGAGCCAATGATTAATATTAATTTTATAGTAAAGAAAAGGACCAAGGAACTTCAAGTTACACTATAATGTCCACTGACACAACCAGTTACTTGAAAATCAGCTCATGTGATAACGTTGCACAAAACTGACCGACAGTACTGACGTTCTATAACTAACTGGCTATCAGCTCTAACAAGTCTTTTCAGACTTTCCTTTCACTTTTTCCGACGACTAAATCGGCATGGCTTTAAATTGGCTACTAGTTTGTGGAAAGTACTTCTGTATGTTGTGTATGTTCTATTGCTTGTGAGTAAGAGTATTTTGCACGGGACACATGCTCAGATAGTGTTGACTACAACTCTCCAGAATCCTCTGAGATCACACGTTTTGAAGTACCGTAAAAGCCCCTGTATATGCCCACCATCCATGTACACGCCGAGTCAGGGGAAGTCAACACTTTTGTTTCAAAATAGCGCCAGCCCATGCCCATGTATACACCCAGGCAATACCAGTACTAGTACAAATGGATAGTTTTGAGTCGTATCGAGCCAGGGGAGAATTTCAACATAATATATTCCAAGTATACGCCCAGGAAATCGAGGCTGCTATTCTATACTCCCAGGGTACACAGGCTTTTACAGTATGTGTTATTGACAAAGTACTAGCTTGGGCAATACCGGCAGATATCAATGCTGGTATTGCCGCATTGTGCCAGTACTTGATCATAAAACTTTTCTATGTGTACGATTTGACCTCTTGATCTTCCAAGACTTGAAAGAGCACTTGGAAGGTCAAGGAGTCAAAAAAGCGGGGTATATTCAACGGCCCGCTTGAGTGAGCGTGTATGGAGAAACATTGCACGCTAAGAAAGGTCCCTGATTGGCCCTAACCCTAGTAATTCACTTGGCATGAATTAATGTAGATTTCCTGCTGATCACCGCCATACTGCACAAGCTTGGATTAGCAGTACATGTATATTACATGTACTGTATATGCATGTACTGTATATGCATGTTGTTAGATCTTGCAATGCTGTTTGCCTTTCAAATGGCCAGCATCATGGCTTCAAGTGGTCATGCACATTGCGAATTGCCTTACGTCGCACTCTAAATGTGTGGTATTTACAGTTCTGGCCAGAGAAATTCAACCTCATGAATAGAGTAGCACCCGGCTCCATTTTATTTAGGTTGAATTTTTGCATGGTGTGACATCCCGGGCACGATCTTGCAACTCAATACAAACATATATGATGGCATACGTGTACATGTACATGTGTGAAGGGTCGGGTAGAAACAGGATGAGCTGAACCGACATAATTATCTTAACGTTTTCTTCTTCCCTGTTCTTCACCGCCTTTGTATCCACTCGTTGTTGAATACAATAAAGCCTTCGTGAAATGTCGGTTCAGCTCGTTCTGTTGATCGCAATTCTAATACTATTGTCGCCTCGACGCTTATTGACAAAATTAATAATGATAAGGTTGAAACTTTCAAATTTTCGAGAAAAAGAGGGCTTCAAACGGTTTGGATCCACGTGCGCAGGCTACAATAGTTGTCCAATTATGATAAGTTATGGCGACACTGCGTGCAGAACGTCTTGTCTTGACAGTACGTCAGCTGCAAGATTAAAGGAGTCCATTGGCATTGACAGACCAATTTTCTACCTGACCCGCTCACATCTACAAGTACAAATGTAGGCCCTATACATCCCGATTGGCTACCGGTATATGCTTTTTCAAATGGGTTCCACGCATTTCTAAAGGACTGCGTGCATTTCAAATGGGCGGGCGCGTTTGAGAGGGATTACAATACATTTCAAATGGGCTGCATGCACTTCAGAGGGACTGCATACAGTCAAATGGGCTTCATACATTTCAAATGGGCTTCATACATTTCAAATGGGCTTCGTACATTTCAAATGGGCTTCATACATTTCAAATGGGCTGCGCATAGAAAATATTCATGAGCATCTGCATGTACATGTAATAGCGGCAAGAAATCCCAAAACCTGAAAAATTTGGCGATAGGTCTACCCTACTAACCACTTTTTGTGTCTGAGTGGTGCGATTTTGTAATTAATTTTCATTTTACCTTTTTTAGGGAATTTTGTCCTAGAATTACAAAAACTGTGATATTTAGCAATCCAAGTTCCCTTTTTTGCAACCCCAAATGACAGTTGTTCCGTTCCATAATTTTTCAGTCAAAAATGGATAAAGGGGAGATTGTGGCCATCCGTGGATATTTAGACAATTCAAAGGAGAATTTATCCCCTCAAACAGAAAGCTTCAATTGAAAAAATGGCCACAATGCCCCCTAAATCCATTTCTTAGACCGACCCGGTAGACATTTCAGTGGCAGATAGCTGCTGGCGACTCCATGTTGATAGCGGCTACTCGCGACGCATTTATTGCTGTTGTTCCATATGCTGTATTGTTGACAGAGCAGAGAAAACCGTCAAAAAGCATACCGAAACGCTGAGGGCTACCCCCTGGAGGGCACTAACAAGCCATAGGGCCCTCCATGCCATGCACTAACCTATAATTAGTGAACGGGTAGCTCCGAAGCATTGCAGTTATGAATTCAATTGAGTCTCCCAACACAAACCATACCCTGGAAACTGCATACTCGGAGTGGAAACTGATTCAAACCTCACAAAACGGGGGCCAAGTTCCAGTACTTTTTGGACTCAAAATCCCTAACGAGTACTAGTAATCTACAATGTCACGATTAGTTGATTGCTAGGTATTATGATCGTTTCAGCCCTAGTTCCTACACATATACGTCATGACAAAACCTACACTTGAAATTGCATGTCATTACAATTTACAACTACTCAGAGTATGAAGGAAAGTTTGCCTTCCCTTCAGCACCTCACACTTTAGAATACCAATCCAAACAATAATGCGCTCGTCTCACTTGCAGCAAGGGAGCATGCAAACCAGCATAAATTAAGCGCACCACCGTTTTCAGAGTATTTACCTGGATGAAACTTGGGGTGGAGGTGCTTCTTTGGATGCCTCCACCCCTAGCCGGTAGTGTTCTGTTGATAGTAGAGGCAGTGGTGTGCGAAAGTTAGCTGGAGGAAATAAACAGGAAGAAGACAGCGACTGGCCAGTGTTTCCGAGGCAAAATATACCAAGCAACAGATCATGAAGTATACATTTCGGACATAAAGAAAGCCAGGACAAAAGGAACATTCGGTGGAACAGGCAGTTGGGCAATAAT